TAGATAGCAATGCAGTATTAAGATTAGAAGCATCTAATTCAATAGATAGTTATATTGGTGGAACTAAATATTTGGAATTAGATGATACGCAATTTTCATCATTTAACGGTTTCAATTTAAGTAGTGATAGAAGACTGAAAGATAATATAGAAGATGTAGATGATGACACTATTAATATGGTAAAAAATATTAAGGTAAAAACATTTATCAAAAATCAGAAAACAAGAAAAACTGAATTAGGATGGATTGCCCAAGATGTTCAACAATATACTAATTCAAAATACAATATTGTAAATGATACAGGCGATTATTTAACAATGTGTTATGACCGTATGGCGTGTATTAGTTGGGATGCTTTATCTAAATTAATTAGGCGTGTAGAATATTTAGAAGAAGAATTACTTGAAAAGAAAAAGAACAAATCTAAATAATATATATAATGGGTATTGGTCAAAGCAAAAACGATGAAAACAACAGTATGGAAGACATAAAGAATTTAAGAGTAGATGAAAAAACAAGAGCAGATACTTTAATCATTAAATCTATTCAAGAATGTGTGGCACGAATAGAAAAATTAGAAAACCAAAAATCGGACAAACTAATATATAAATTACCAAATTTGCAACTTTGCAACGCTTCATTAATTTGAATTAATAACATTAAAAATAGATTTAATGTTATTGATTAGTTATTTTCAACTAATGTGAACACTTTTTCATAAACATCTTATCAGGGTTCTTTTCTAAAAGGTTAATATACAAAAAGCTGTGTGGTTCGTCAGTAGCAGATTCATATATTTTATAAATTAGTTTCTTGCTTTCTAGCAAATTATCACTTCTAACAATTGCTGATAATTCATCTTGTAATATTTCTATCTCTTTGAAGTTTCTAACTTTATAATAAAACAAATGACTTATATTTACTCTAATAATTGGTGGGACAGTTGATGACTTTTGAAGACTGACAAGCGTTGATATACCACTATGACGACCTCTACAAAATAAAGAATTTAACAATTTGTTATTTCTTGTTATTGCTGGATTATCAGATACATCATCCAAAATTACCAAAATATTAAATAACTTCTTCATTCCTTGTTTTTTCTGGTATTCAATTATTTTATTTTGAGTTTCTATAACTCTTTCTAAATTTTCAACATTGAACTCATCCCACCAACACGGTTCTTTATCAGTATCTACTTTCAAACCTTCTTTAATGTACTTTTTAGCAGGCAACCAAATACTATCCAAATTTACTGATGGAGACCAGATAAAAACTCTTTCAAATGCACATCTATAAATATCAAGTATCATTGATACAAGTAGTGTCGATTTGCCAGAACCTGACGGACCTACAATCATCGCTCTCATCGGAAATTTAGGGACGACATCGTGCTTACTTTGCTTAAAGTCATATTTGATTTCATCAATTGGTTTTACATCAGGCATAATAAAATAATATTATAAATACTTATAACAAATAATTTATATTTATTATTGAATGGAACATCTTTTTTTATGATATGCTGGTAGTGAATATCATAAAAACGGAACAGGTTTCCATTGCTTCAATCAGTAAGCATTGAAGCTAATTAGTTTGAATTAGTTTGAACCTCGCTTGTGGTGTCCAGTGTGAAGAAAACCCCATTGCTGAGCCCCGAATATTCTATCATGCATGAAATAATAAGATAAATTTATAATAATTTATCTTATTATTTATATGGCTATTGTCCATTGCAGTTGTGGTAAAACTTATGATGATAAATATTTATTTAAACATCTAAATTCAAAACATCATCAGAAATTTGTGGAATATAGATGGAATAAAGACGATACAATGAAAAAACTGTACAACCATAGGAAAAAGAACCATTTTTCCTAGGGCTCTAGAACTTGATAGAACTTATCAAGTTCTATCAAGTTGTACAACCATAGGAAAAAGAACCATTTTTCCTAGGGTTCTAGAACTTGATAGAACTTGATAAGTTCTATCAAGTTGTACAAGGAAAGAAAGAAAGAAATGAAAAAAAATAATTTGTCTTATTATTTTATATTAATATAATAGATGAAGTTGAGAAAATAGAACAAGTTGTAATAACTGACAATAATATTAAAAAATGTTGTTATTATATATAAAGAGTAGATTTAACACTACTTCAAACGCATAAATAAATAAATAAATAAATAAATAAATAAATAAATATCTAATTATTTATAATCATAATGCCAACTATGAATGGGCAAGATCATAGAATTATAACTTTTGATGATGAAGAAATTAATGATCTATTCGATGGTGATAAAAACTTTGCTAGACAGTTGAGTATAGAATTTGTTTATTGGTTCGATGCTAAATTCAATGATAGATATTTTATGAAAGGTATAACTAAACCAGATAAATTTGATAAAATATTAAAGTTTTTTAAAATTAGGGGTGACAGTGATAACTTAATACAGATGAAGAATAAAATTGATGAAAGACTGTTAGAATATAATTTATTTACATATATTAAAAAAAAAAAAAAACATATTCGGGTAAATTATATAATAAAACGTATAATTAAATAAATAAATAAATAAATATATATATATTAATATTTATATATAGAAATGTCAGAAAATGAAAGTTTTACAATTACCGATTTAATGAAACAACTTGTAATTATTAGTAAGAATATTAAAACATTAACTGAACTTATTAAGACTATTGATGAAAAAATAAACCAACCTAAAAGCAATAACAAAGACGATAAGGAGAAGATGGATAAAATCTTTGAAAAGAAAGGATTAGGACGTCCGAAAGGGTCTTTTGAAGACAAACAAAAACAATATGTGGAAATGTTAAACAAAGGGCGCATTAAACAACCAAAAGAGGAAACCATTGAATATTATAAACTGTTTAAGAACGAAGAAGGAAAATACGAATTAATATAATAATACCGTTTAAAGAAAAGATAAGTTAAGATAAGTAAGGATATGAGTAACCAATATCAGAATGGTAAAATTTACAAAATAGTAGATGTTGGATATAGCCAGTGCTATTTTGGAAGCACCTGTGAAAGTTTAAGTCAAATAATGGCAAGACATAGAAGGAGATATAAAGCATATCAAGACAATAAGGACTATTGTGCTTCTACTTCTTTACTGTTTGATGAGTATGGTGTAGAAAACTGTAAAATTGAACTTGTTGAAAACTACCCTTGTGGCAACAAAGAAGAACTGCTACAACGAGAGGGATATTATCTACAAAATAATGAGTGCTTGAATAAGCGAGTGGCAGGTAGAACACAAAAGGAATATCAAGAACAAAATGCTGAGCGAATGAAAGAATCAATAAAAGAGTGGTATGTCAATAATAAAGAACGGGTTTTAGAAAAACAGAGTCAAAGATATACTTGTTGTTGTGGAGCAATAATTAGAACCAGTGGAAAGGCAGAACACGAAAGAACCAATAAACATCGTAAGTTCATTAACCAAAATATTTAATCTAAATAATTCTAATAAATGAATTTATTAGAGTTATTTTCAGGCACAGGTTCAGTAGGACATATAGCAAAGTTGCTTGGTTTTAATGTTATTTCATTAGACTTGAACAATGCTGATATTAATTGTGATATACTTGAATGGGACTATAAACAGTTTGATAAATCACACTTCTCATTCATTTGGGCATCACCCCCTTGCACGGAATACAGCAAAGCAAAAACAACGGGAATAAGAAACATTGAATATGCTAATAGTATTGTATTAAAAACATTAGAGATAATTGACTATTTCGGTTTTCCGTATTTTGTTATTGAAAATCCGCAGACAGGATTATTGAAAAGTCAGTCTTTTATGAATGGGTTAAGGTTTAATGACATCGACTATTGTAAATATGGTTTTAACTATCGTAAGAGAACGAGGTTATGGAACAATCTAAACAATTGGAAGCCGAGACCATTATGTCAGAAAGATTGCGGTAAAGTTGTTAATAATAAACATATTGAAACAGCGCAATGGATGCCAAGTGGAACAAAAGAAAAATGGGGCGAGAATTATGTAAAACATAAGCAGGAAGAACTTTACAAAATCCCGAGTGAGTTAATCAGTGAAATCTTGGTGAGTGTTATGTAATTGTCTTTTGTTCCGGGTGCTTGTTCGTTTATTGTTTATGTATTGTTGGTTTTCGTTGCAGGCTGGGCAACCAGCCCCTTTGGAAAAATAGGCTTAAAGGAATATTACCTTAATACTATAAAGTCAATGGACAAATTTTGTATGGGGTGGTGCGGTAAAATGAAAGCAGTAGAAACATTCGGTGGTAATTACCAAAATTGTATTGATTGTCGTGCAAGGGCAAGAGCAGAGTGGCATAAATATTATTCTGAGAACAAAGACATTCTTGTTCATTGTGATGTTTGTAATCGGGCTGTCAGGAAATTAGGCATGTCAAGCCATAAAAAGACCAGAAAGCACAAAGATAATTTGGAAATGCAGGGGCTGGACACTCAGTAAATAATATTTCATAATATATTCATATATTATGAATTATTTTTGGATATTTGATATATTGGTAAGTTGATTTGATTTTATGATATTTATTGTTAGTTTTTGGGCGGTGCATTTGAAATGGCGGGATTTGTGCTCAAAAAAAAAGGTCTGAGTTGCTGGGCGGTTTTGAAATGTGGAAAAAAGTGTAGGTAGGACCCTATGAATACAAAGGTGCTGGTTGGCCTTTGCTAGCTATTACACCCCCCCCCAACCCCGTCTCCCCCCGAATCTTGGCGACGCTGCTACTTACTTCCTTGTGGAGCGACGGCGAACGTTGGCTCCTGAGGGTATATATATATATATGCATCTGTAGAGACATGGGTGATTCTTAAAATAGGGGCCCCTAAACTACTCTGTGTCCTTTTGTTTCCCGGGAAATAACATCGAATGCAGGGGGTTTCCCCAGTTTGAGAAACTCTCATATATGAGGTGCATGCCATGCTATGGCGATGACCAAAAAAACCCACCCGCCTCAACTGCAGCGGCAGGTGTGCGCGGATTCAAGAGACCTCGACGTGTCGGATGACCCACCGGGCCCCTCAAAAGCGCCATTTTCGGTCCGATCGAAATGAAACACAGGGGTTTTCAGGGGTCCTGTCAGCACCTGGTACAGTTCCTCCTTGTCAAGTACCGTAGATATGTGCCCGACGTCAACTATGAATAAAAGCTGGATTTGCGTCATGCGCTCATTTCAAAAGACAATAGCACGCCAAACGCAACGCCATCCATCATAGAAACACCAGTGGCTGCTGTCATTCCCTGTTTCTTCTTCCATCTGAGAAACAGCCAGGCACAATCACATTTCCCGAAAGTTTCACTTTGCGGGCTTGCAAAACCTCTGCTGGCGGCTAGCGACTGAATTCTTCTGCACGGGCCCACTGTCAGAGCATTCGTGGCTTCATTAGCCTGTCATGATCCTTCATTCATGAACTAACGTGGCGTGAAGATAAGCAATTTTGAGCTGACCCTTCAACTGAAACCTGGTTGGGGCGACAGCCGTACCAAACTTGGGTCCGTTCTCTTAGAGATGAGCGCTCCTAGGTATTTGGCTTCGTCAAGTTTGTTCCCAAAACCTCACCATTTGCGAAGCGAGTTCTTCCTCTTGAGTTGGAGGTGACAAATGAGCAGTTGACTTCTTGAGTCGTACACGTAGATCATTATGAGTCCTGCTCAATAACATTGTATCATGCAATACTGCTTGCGCCTGCTTCACATGTTTGGCAACTAGCAGCGTGTCGTCGGCGTAAAGCAATTCACGGAAATGTATCTCTGGGAAAGAGCGCCGATTTGTCGTCCGGGACGTATGTTTGATACTTAGTCTCCCCTAAAATATCACATAGCTTTGGAGGAGAGCTTAAGTACCCCCATGCACAACTTTAACTGAGGGTCTCCTTAGGCAAACCATTCAGCGAAGACTGGCACCGGGAAAGCGCATTCAATCTGCCTGCCGGGGCGCGTTTGCGATGGGTCTTGCCTTGGTTGGCGGCAAATGAGCTGGCAAGGAAAACAAACACCTGAGTCATGTGCCCAAAGAGCCTGGAAAAAAGGGAACCCTTTTTAAAGACCATTTTTTAGTGGGGCAGCCACCCAAAAAAAGAAGGAAAAAGGGGGCCACTGAACAACCGAGTAGGCTGTCGCTTTGGAGGTTTCCTTTGGGCAAGTGAGACAATACCGAGCTTGGCTGCCAGCTTCATGAAGCTGCCGCGACTCCCGCGGCCCCGTCCAGGAAAGTTGGCAGATCGGACAGTGATGCGCCTCAAGCCGGGTGCACCCTCGCGCAGCAAGAATAATTCAGGCAGCCCTGAACATGGTTTGGATTGGCTTGGATTGGGAATTGAACCCCCCTGAGTCCTCTGTCTCCGGGTTACTTCTCTGCTCTTCCGATCTCCTAGGAGACCCTCTGAAAACTAGGAGTTTCAGGTGATTGAAATTCATAAGCAGGAGTGGCTTGCAAAAGGAGTGAAAATACAAAACTAGGAGTAGTTCTTGGGGGCACAATTGGAAACAAGTGTTGTTGTATTTGTTCGCTTTTGGGCCCGCAAATATGCAACTCTGTACACTATCCCAGCAGTTATGCAACTCTGCGCACGAGAGTGGGTATTCCACTCATTTTACAAAAATGCACTCTCCGGAAACTCCGTCTTTTTTTTGATTTGCGGGAGTTTGCGGGGTTTTGCGGGAGTTTGCGGGCTATTTGCGGGTGTTTTGCGCTGAGTTTAGTGGTGCTTTCCGGTGTTGCGAAGGCAATAATTCGGAATTTGTGAATAAGTGATTCGAATTGAAAGATTCTGATTCAGAATAGCAGAATAGTTCTGAATTGGAGGGTTCGTTCCGTCAAGCACCGAATCATTGCGATTTCTAGGGGTTTCATGTGTGCAAACCTTTTGCAGAAGTGACAATCATTTTTTAGGAGTTTTACCTTAAAAAAAAGCAGGAGTTTGAAAACTCTGTTTTTTCGCTGAGACCTTTCAAAACTGGTATTCCCCGGATTTTACATTAAATTTCGAGGATCTGGAAGATCCAGGCCCTGTAAAATGAGAAACCACCCCGGAACACAAAGAACAACAACGATCCAAACCACATCCAAAATGCTTTCCAAACCAACCCCGAACCTCCACTGAAAGAGCACAGACCCCGTTTCAAGCCTGTTGGACTGTTGGAGTGCATGTGCTCCTTCCGCCTGGCCTCCATCCAAAGCTGAAGGCAAGGCCATTGCACATGAAGATACCATTGAATGAAGGCCTTGTTGTTTTGATGTGCTTAGTGTGTGTGTGTGTTCATTGAATATCATTTGGTTGAACATGACTACCACTATATACAAAAAAATAAAGAAACAAAAGCCAAAAACAACGATTCGCAATTCGACAACAGAAAAACAAGTGCTAGTTCATGGCGGGGATGGCCGAGTCGAACGACAGTAAAAGAGTTCGCACCCCAGGCACTGAACTCTTTGTCTCAAGCCAAGACCGTGACAAAGCTGCGAAGGGGATTTTTTTCCGGATCTCAGAACTTATATTGTCCCTTTGGGTGCATTCAGCTTCTGGCCAAAAGGGCTGCGTATCGACTTGCGCGAGTGACTGGCTTGACTGCCACACAGAAACCCCGAGCCTCCTTGTCCGTGAGTCCAACTGAAATTCTGGATAAAACACAGGTTGGTTTCATGTCGTTCTCACTTGGATTTCAGATGGAATTCGGTAGGGCTTCATGTGCACCTACAAGTTTGGAGCTGGTAATTAATTTTCCTAGGTAGGTGAACATGAGGGGATCCTGAATCTCAATCCGTAATCCATAGACTCGACTTCAACAAGGGACACGAGGACACTCTAGCAGGATTTGGCACTGATTTTGAACCACCCAGTGTACCTAGCAAGAGCCCGAAACAAAGCTGGATGAAGCACTACAAAGGGCACAAACCACATGAACAGCAGGAAACCTGACGCTGAGCAAACGTCAACGCGCGGATGGTTTGGGAGGAACCTTTCCCATTGCTTTGCTTTCAAAGGGAAGACAAACAAAAGAACAACACATTCCGTGAAGCACGCAGTGGAGCTTGCAACATTTGATGTTTAATAATGCTGAAACTGGGTGCCTGTATGGTCGACTACATTAACTCATCTGAAGAATGCCACCTCCGGCACGATCCATAACATCCAAAACAAACTAGCTTAAGCCCCATATTTCAGAAACAGGAGGAAACGTGCTCCTGTACCGTAGTTCGGTTGCAGACATGCCAGTTCCTTCAGATCACGTTCACGACCTCATACGACCTCGCTTTTGAACTAGCAAACCCTCCGATTTGACTCGGGCTCCTGGATCATGCGCGCGAGAGTGGCGGTCTTGTGATACACCACCTGGTCAGGTCGGTCAGGTCGGAGGGAATGCTTGCAGGCACCTCTGTCCTTTCCGTACCCCTAGAGAACCCTGGCATGGGTATCTGCTCTTTATCATGCTATGTACTGCCCTGTTTACCGTGCAACTCGAGGCAAGAAACCATTCAACGGAGCGGGCACATCTCTGAGTCACAAGTCTAAGACCTGAGGCATTTGCTATGTGCGCGAGTGCTTCAATCTGGCAGTTGAAACTGCTCTGGACACCCTCCCGTGCCCTCCCGCCCTGGATAGATCCGTGGTCAGGCCACACTCATCAATCCCCACAGGGTGCCTTGAAATCTGGTCTGTGTCCACGGTTCCCGTAGAACTTGCGATACTCAAAATCCCTTTGCGGTGCATGGTGACAGGATTCGCACCGCTTGCTGTACTGAGACCTAGCCAGCCGAGCAAGTGAGAGCGAGCTGCCTATCAGCAACAGCATGCAGCATGTCTCTTGACCGAGCACCCACAAAGGATTGCAATGATGGATGTTGACTGCATTTCCTGCCTTTGCATCAATTCCTCGGTCCCTGTAATACAGTGATGACATATCCGATTTAGTGATAGTCAAAAGACCACCTCTCCTCTTTGGTGATGGTCAAAGCTAACATCCATGCCACACAATGAAAACAGTTGTATCCTAACTAAGCCCCAAAGCGAAAATATCCAAACTTCCAGGTCCCATTTCCAGACGACCCTCTGGTGAGCCTTCTCCTGCTGCTTTGCAAAGTCATTGTCGTCTTCTGAGAGCTGTTGCTCCTGTAGTGATGAAGCCGAAAGGAGACTTTTCCTTTTGAGATACGACCCGCACTGGCAAGCCTCTGCTACAAACCTTGTTGGGATTCTAGGGACCTTGCAACACAAAAACCTGGGAGTAGCTCTGCAAGGGACATTTTTTCTCAGACCAAACTGTGCTCGACCCCTTGCCAATAAACCTTGGGCATTGGGGCTGAGAGGCGTCGGCCTCAAACTTAAAATTGATTCCTGTGCTGGGCTGCCCTCAAATCCCCCGCTAAACGTTTATTTTTTAGTGGGTTAAATGGAAACTACCACTAAACCCTAAAAGGCCAAAAAGCTAAGGAACCGGATGGCTGGGAGCCACCAAGTGTGCTGGTGCCTTCCAATGAAGCTGCCATCGGAGGTTCAAAGCGCGCGGTGCTGTCAAGGCACACACAATCCTTGCGAAGAACTCCAGTCCCCTTCCGAGCAAAACACGCCGACGGTGGATGCCAAAAAGACAAACAAAGCATGGAACAAGTGAAACCCCCTAACTTACCGCAATTTACTATGGTTGTGTGTTTCAGAATGGTTGGCTTGCTCGCAATATTTAGGGAATCCTCATAACAAGACAATGACTTAGACGTATGTGCATCACCCCTCCCAAACGCAAAGGCTAAAACAATGAAATGTGAAAGGCAGTTCGCCACGACGCAACTATCGCTCTATCCGAGGATCAAGGTTTGGCACATTTGCGCTAACTCACTTCCTCAGTGGATCGGCCAACAAAAGCTCAAACTTTCTACTTACCACTAAAATGGTCTTTCCAAAAAGCTTAAAGTCAAGGAACTCAGGAAGTAAGCTAATGGGATAGGGTTCAGCACCTCCTTCTGGTCGAAATGATCGTCCCTTACCTGTCTTCCCCAATGAACTGCTCGGAATCTCGCAGAATTTGCTCTTGAAGATAAGCCATGGTAAGGCCTCCGGTTGCAAACGTGTTGAACCCCAATTGCTCTGACACTGTCTTGTGCCTCCCTAGGGCAACTCCGTCATGAGTCCAACCAATTTCAACCTGACAAATGGACTCCTCAGCACGGAATGCAATTTGCATCTCAGTTATTCAGTGACCCTGAAAAAAAGGGAACCCTTTTTGGGGAAGACCATTTTTAGTGGGGCAGCCACCAAAAAAGGTGGAAAAAGGGTGCCACTGAACAACTGAGACATCTGCCTGCCTCTAGGAGGGACATTGCAAACTTCAGCGCAGCAATCTCCGCGGTTCTCATCACTCGCAGCCTGAGGGAGTGATTTCTCTTCAGATTACACTCAAGATGGATGGTTGTTCTTTGAATTTCCGGGTAAGCACTACCCTCAAAACACTCGCACACACTTCACTCTTCATTTTCTAGGCAAGTCTGCGGACGGATATCACATGTTGATCCCCTCATTTGGCAGTTCGGGCATCCAAAGTAACTGTTACATCATTCGGGCCTAGTGTGTGGGTCGGGTAGTCTGGGTGGTAGTTTCCCAAGGTTTGGTTATACACACTGAGACTTGTTATAATTAGTCAGTACCTCTCGCTGGGTTCAAAGGCCCAAACTGGATCAGTTGAAGGCTGTTCATAGCCAGTCTACTAAAACGAATGCCCATCTGAATGGTTGCAAATGAGAACTAGGCACCCACATCTGGGCTGCTCCTCCTGAGCAAAAGGCCCAACCTTTTGTAGACGGACAAGCAAGCTAGTTCCACAAGATCCACGGGGCTACGGCCACACCCAAGAACAGCCAAGACGACAGCTTGGTGCTCACTGACATGCGTCCTTCCCTTGTTTTGTCAAGAAACACGGAGGTCGCCAAGGTGTTAGTCGATCAGTTCAAACCAAAGGCTCCAGTTGCCACACCGGGAACCGGGTTTCTATCTCTAGACTTATATGTAGAGGTACCTGGATCCACCGTGCTACCCACTGCAAGGCTTTTGGTCGGGACCATCCGCCATGAACCTGCAATTAGAACACTGTGAAGGGGCTGCTCCATAATGGAAAATGTGCTCAAGTCACTCTTACTCTAAGAACCGAAACAAAACCCTTAAGCCTCCAAAAAAGAATGAGCGTCTAAGTGTCGCAATACTTCGGAGTATGCGGGGAGAAACTCGTCAAGTGATAAGTAGCCATTGACAAGTACAAATTTCTTTGGGTGAAACGCATTGACCATGGACGGAGGTGGGGACTTGGCCAATGTCGGAACCGCGGGCCTCCGTTGGGAAGGAAGCAACTGTTGAAAGTTTCCCGCGGGTTCCGTAGAATTCCTGAAGGCTCCTTCATAGAAATCTACAAAAACTCTATAAGGAATCGGCCAAATACCCATCAAACACATGTAACGTTCCTGCAGAACTAGCAAACTACCCATCAACTTATTTGTTTTCCCTCAGATGCCCAGTGGCCATGGGAAAAAACGGACATCTTTTCTTTGGGTTGCTTGACTTTAAAGGGGAACCCGAGGAAAACAGGAAGCAACCCACTGGGCAACTGGGCTCCTGCAGAACTTCCCGTTTCTTCTTGGGGACGTTTCTTCGGGGTCGTCTCAGGAACTTGAGCCTACGAGCCCCAGCCCCGAGGTACGGGCAAGTCCATCCAGGCGTCAAAGAGCTCTTCGTTGTCCTCACATTTGGCCATGGGTCAAAATCCAAATCGGTTAGCCCCCAGTGAACATCCCACTCTCAATCCCCTCTAAAATAGGAAACCTGAAACGGGTGGCGCACCTACCCAAATGGTACCATTGGTTTTGACCCACAGCCATTTTGGGTTTGTCGGGGTTTGTCGGGGTTTCCTTTTTTTGCGTGCCTGGGCTTCCTTTCTGCTTTCCACTTCCTGAGAGATACCAATCGACAGGGGGTACACATTCCTGTGTCCCAGGGAAACTCATGTGACATGGGGCTTAAAACCACCATCCCCTGATGGAAACACGTTGGGCCTCTGGGGATATTGGCCTGCAGTGAAAAACCCTGGAGGTAAAAAGACCTGGTACCTAACGATTCCCCCTGGTTACCTAACGATTCCCCCCTGCAATGCCCGCAGTGATTAGCTGGAATGTTAAAAAGCCTGGCTTATGTCCAATGAATCGATGCTTGACTCGGTTGTTCAACATAGGGGGTCAACAATGCATTTGTTTCCACAATCAGCAGTGGGACACCACAACAAAGGACACTACTACATCTGGCATAAAGACTACCGATTGCTTTTGAATCCAGCTTGGTTGAACAAGCTGGGAGGGGGGGGGGGGAAGGGGGGTCGGGATAAAATGAACATTATTCATCCCTGGTTTGTTCCCTTCTGGGAAACGTGGCCAACAGACCGCAAACTATCTCGCGGATCAACTTGAATCAGCTCAGCACACGCAGCATCACGAAGACAACTGTATCAACGGGATCCTGATGCATCCTGATTCCATTGAGTCGTATGGGTGTGTCAAAATTCCAGTGAGTCGTATGGGTGTGTCAAAATGAGGGGGGCTGAACCCAACAAACGTCCTACTTGGTTCCCTTGGAAGAACTGAAAAAGGTACCCTCAAAACACACACACACACAAACAAAAATATATGGGTATGGGTCAAAATGATACCGCCAGGGAACCGCAGGTTTAGGTCCATATTTCCACTTACCAGGGCAAGCCAATTTGGGTATCTTTTTGACCCAGCCTTATGACGTCAAGCCAGTCCTGAATGAGCCCGCGAAAGAGACCTTCGTCTCTCCGCAGATTCTGCCACAGCAAGTTGATATCTGCGCCTCGGGGGCAGCTTCACTCCAGCCCAACGCAGGTCGTGATGTCCCTCAGCTCTGGCACCCAACTGAAAATGCTAAGCTACGAAGACATAAGCAGATCAAAAGGCTGGAATTCAAATTTATACGGGTTTAGATTCAAAATTCAGACCTTTTCCAGGTTGTGGTCTATACTAAGTGAACCTTGACATCTGAAATGTCCAGAGACATCCATCCCTAAAGTGCTTGAGTGAGGGCTTTGCTCTACAGCCCTCAAGTCATGAGCAATGTTCCCAACTGATATGTTTCTGCACCTCTGAATATGCGGCACCACTCCAAATATGAAGCATTGTTTTGCCTGAATCCACCGGTTTATCGATTAACGGCTTAGCTATTGGATCGCATGAGGCATAGACAAGATCATGTCATGCCAAGTTTTTTTTTCACAAGCAAGTATTCAACGAATGCCACCTTTGTTTCATGTCTCCCAAACCCGATAGCTTCCAGTAAAACGACATAATCTCAAGCCAGCACATGCCTTGCACAAGCTTCCTAGCGCTCCCACTTGTCAAGTCACATGGAAGCCCCGCGGCGCTGAGGAGTCAGGATGCAGCGGAATTCTGTGGGAAAATCGCACAAAACGGGGGAACCCCCAAAATTGCTGGTTTCAGTTTTGGTTCCCCCTAAATCCATTCACAACAGGTACTCCCAACAAAAAGACACAATGTACAAATCCGCAACATGCTGAAACTCGGATTACAATCCAATTTGATGACTGGCAACATGTCTATTCCCGACTGTGATAGTTCTCAAACTTATACACTCAGGCAGAACAATCACCACCCACATGAACCTCAACATCGTTGGTTCACAAGCTCCTCTATTGATGAGACACCAGAACTTAGCTTGCATAGTTTGAAGTCTGTTGCACCCATCAGTCCTCTTCCAACGAGACCTGAAAAGGAGCTTGGTGCCACTGGATTGGATGGCTCACCGCTCACAACCAGAGACAACCCACCCCGCTGCGTCCAAGCGAGAGGATGGGGAACGAAGAACTTGCACCGAGTCCGCCGCAAATGCCGTTCTCCAGCAGGGTGGCCTGGTTCTCGCGGTTGGGGCCTTGCGCTCGGGTGACTTCGGTTCTGGAAGGAAACTTAAGTTCTCGAAGAATTGAACAGTTCTCCATCCCGATTTGTGGTTTGAGTGTACCGAGACACACGCACACAATGGCTGCCTTGATCCAAGAGTCAGTTTGAGTGGGCAATTTGAGTGGACATGTGTGGGTGACCCTGGCCATGTACGGATGCAAGTAGATGGCACAATTGGGACCCATTTTGGTTTAGTCATCTCCTTTCTTACCGACACCAGGAAATTAAGTTTGGTTTCAGCCTGTATGGACTTTGACGAAAGCCTTCCTTCCGACAGGGGCCAATCAAACTCATCTGAACATGACTCGAGACTTGATGCCCCGCCGCAACAACAAACACTTGGTTGCTGTGGCCAGGGAAGGACATAAAACAAACACCAATGCTCTGGGTCATCATGTCTCATAACCTACAAGGATCACCCCAGAAAGAAACCATTAGGAAACATAGGTCATTTGCCTTGCTGGTAGGTGGTCCCAGTATTCATGGGACAAAATCTACGGAGCTCCTGGGTTGAAAACGGTTGAAGCACCTCAAAGCCGATCTGCAGACAGAAGATGTTGACCTCCCGTTAATTACCTGGGTTTGCCAAATCAGTTGGAGGTTTGGAGACCGAACTATACAACCCGCCTGCCAAAGCGAATGTCGCTTCATGGACTCCATCTGAGTCCGTCTGAGTCTCAAAGTGGTGTTTTCCCCACTTATGCAACCTGAAATCGATCGCTTAAGCATCACCAGAGAGGAAGTTGGTTTTCTTGACGTTTGGTGAAAAACCGCACAGACACAGCTGCGATTGTCCTGTTGGCTTCCCTGCAACTCTCCTGCTCCAAGAGCCGGAAATTTAGCGAATTAAACAATTCTATGGCTATGGACCACTGGAAAACCATAAGGTCGATGGATCCGGTCGATCCGTTTTGGAGTGAGTTTAAACGCCCCAAATGCACTGTGCCCGTTTCTTTTGGCTAATGACCCCACTAAATCACCCTTATGTCCAATTGGTGTTTGGTTTGTTTGGTGGCTCTCATTTCCTCTGCAGGAACCAGCAATCAAAACCACCAACTTGGCGGGTAACCATTCCCAACATAAGGAGCCCTGAAAATATGAGGCTAGAAGGCCAAGGAAGACAAAAGGCTACCGAACACAAGTCAAAATCACCATTACCTCAACAAAACGGCTCGACCTTCGCCCCTTCGAAGCGAAACGTGAACCGAAGCAACGCACCTTGCACCAACTCCGCGGCGGTGTCGAAGAGCTGCTGCACCAAGACCTGAGCGAAGCGAATCCGATTGGGGCGAAGTCGCGAAGACTGCGCTGACCGTCTCACCGTGTGTGTAGTGGGTTGTGACAGCAAAAAAGGGGCTCACTGGCAGAAAAATCCCGTCTGTTAGGTGTCAGTCCGCGGTTTCTGGTGACAATGTGTGCCGTGCGACTAGGACAGGTGGGGGCAGGAATGCTTGTGCGAAGAATCAAGAAACCCCAAGTCACACTGGCATCCAGCGCAGTTCGGACTTGAAAAGCCATGCAAGCTTGCAGGAAAGTCCGAAATCCTTGATGCACTGCTTGCAGCCCGTCAAGACTTGCTATGAGCTCCCACGTGCCAAATCAACTTCCGGAGCGTCGCAAGAGCAGGAAGGTCCATATCGAAAGGTATTGGCTCTCCATGGCGCGGAACAAAACATCCCCCCAGAAAGTTCGCCCCAACCAGCCTCCTTCGCGCAAAATAGCTTAGACTGACACTTATCCCTGCTCAACAATTCGTGTTCTCCAGCTGGGTAAACCGGGCGCGTTTTGCGCATGCCGCTTTGTCGAGATCCGAAGTGTTAAATAGCCAAGGGTGTCTGTGGAAAAGTCCTCGTGGCCAGTTAACAGACGCCGTGCGTGACAAAGCGTCGGTGCAGGGAAGCAAAAAGCAGACAGGCGAAAAGAAGGCGGCTCACTCTGCCTACTCCATGGAGTAGTCGTCCCAGTCCGCCGCAAGCTCATGGTTCTGACCCGCAGATGGCTCTGCTCCGGCATCCGGACTCAAAAGCAACAACTGCTGCCAGTCGCTGAAGTCAATCGGAGCTCACATGCCGCAGGTCATGCGCTCTGGCCCCAGCACTCGCCCAGTGACTTGGCCAAGTCCAGCACATCCTCAAAGTGCTTGAGGCGCGTTACAACGGCGAAGACATGATCAAGCTGGCCCTGTGTCCCCATGGCGTGGTAGGCGTGCATTCGTGGAACTCGCGCCACCATGTTCGGCGAGTGCGGGGTCATCAACTCCACGGCGTGACACGCTCGGATCTGCACTCCTGCCAGTAGCGCGACGCGGCTCGTGGTAGGTCACGCCGCAGTGCGCCTCCACATCCCGGACAAAGGTGCGCAAGAACGGGCCCGAGAAAGGAAGCGCCAGCCAAGTCCTCGGTCGCCGCCTGGTGGGACTTGCCAGTGCACAGTGTTGATGAAGTGGCTCCAGTCGTGGTCGAATTAGACCTCGCGGAACTTGGCCAGGAAGGGCGCGGCTGCTGCTTGGGCATCTCCTCGCGCAGTTCGAGCTCGTCCTTCAAGTGGAGCCGCGCCTGGTGGTAGACGAACTCGCTCAGGTCACAGGCTTGCGCTGAGCCCGCTTTGCCGTCTCGGAGCCCGGCCTGTTGCCAGCGGAAGTTCTCCGCCTTCTCGCAGTAGATGCTCGCCAGGGATGGGCATCTGGCATCCCTATGCAGAACTGCTGCAGCCATGCGTGCAAACGCAGGTGCTTGAACAGGTTGCTTGTCTCCGATGTGGCAAGTGGCACCGTGCCAGCCATCAAATCTCAGCACTGGAAACCGTGGTTGGGGTGGATCGAAAATGGGGAAACAAAGATGGGACACCAAGAGGAAGCAAACCTTTTTGGCATTGCTGTTTTTCTCATGCTCCCTTTCTTTTGTTTTTTTGGGGGGGGGATTTTGGGAAGTGCCGTAATCAAGTTGACCATGTCCTTCAAGAGCTGTAGCTCCGAAGGGCTCACTCTTGGGCCAAACTTGGATACCCCTGGCGGACCTCTGTGGCTTCCTTCCAACCAACTGAAGTGATTCTGGAATTGTCCTGGCAGACCGCACCTTTCGCCATCGTCTTGCACAATGTGCCCTGAAAAACATTCCTGATTCTTCCAAAGACTGATCGAATTTGAGACAAATATGGTTCCTCAAGCTGTTCCCTTTAACATATAACGAAGGGAACAAACCTCTGACTGAAGGAAGAGCTGATGCTTACATCGCCCAGGGCAACTATACGGATCCATGCCAGACCCAAGTGGGTGTTTCTCGTGCCTTTTGGCTTCACTGTGAACCATCCAAAAATGGGTTCACCATCTACAGAAACCTCCAAGTGAGTGTTCACACTTTTGAGGCAGCTGCATATTGCTTCTCCCGGCCGTTCATGGTCACCTGGCAATGGTCGCGCGGGAGACAGGCATCTGGCGACTGCATGAATCTCAATTGGGGGGCCCTGTCTATTCCAGGTATGGAGTTGTACCTCTGGACTCTACATCATACAGGGGTATATAACTGGATGTCTCCTGAGTGGATGGGCCAAAAGTCTAAACTGCTAATTTGCCACTATCTTCCAAACAAAAAGTCCAGGAAGTTCGGGAGTGAGGTGAATCAACAAAAGCTGGCGACAAGCTGCCGGGCTGGCAGCAAAAGCGTTCCAAGTAGGTTCACCCCACGAGATCAGGTTGCGTCAACGGTACAGGAGCAAGTCAACCAACCCCAAAGCTACGCTGGTATCCCAATGTAACCTGGTTGGCTGGTTGTCCTTTGCCACAATGGCCGACCCAAGTCAGATTCATTTGTGCCATGGTGTCCTACTACTGGCAGGGTTGGACGTTGCCAGCCACCCAAATGCCAAACCTCGACTGTCTGTGGGCTGCAGGGTCTAAGCCACACCCTCTACTCCAAGAACCTTTTATTTTAAAGGTCCTCGAGAAAAAAAACAAAGGAAAACAAAACAAAAAAAAACGGGTCCTTCGGGGGAAAACCCGGTTTTACGAAAAGCATATACACGTACAGGTGTTGTATGGGTTTTGTACGCGTTTTGTATGGTGTGTGTACTCTCTTTTTTTCGTAAAAACAGTTTTTTGGTTGGAAAACAGTGTTTTTGGTATGCAAGTGGCTCAAAACCAGGCTTTTAGCTTGCATCCTTTATTTTTACAGTTTCTTGGAGTGGAGGACAGACTTGTTTGGTCGCCAACTTTGTCATGATTACTACCGTGGATGGACAAAATCCACTTCGCACCACCTAAGAAACCCTGGAATGATGATTTCCCTGTAAATACCAACAAACCATACTTTTTCATGGTTTCAACTTGGTGCAGCGTTTGGTCCATCCACAGTGCCAGGCCGAATATTTGCATGCTGCATTCTCCAAAACAGCGTGACCGTGATTAAGGTGGGACCTTACGCAGTCTCCGATCGCAATGTCTCACAGGTCCAAACGTCGCATCCTGTCCAGCTGTCCAGCTGCATCATTCCGCATGCTTATGTCCCCAAGGAAAAACAAAAACCATTGTGTCCAGCAGTAGTAGATCCCTGTGAACCAAGGGAACATTATTCATAACCAAATTAATAGCAGAGGCAAGCAACTGGACCAATAGACTTGCGCTTCTGGCCGTTTCATTGGGCGGCACTGGCTGGCTCAGTACTTCCCAGGAACGGTTCCACATTCAGCCAATTCGTCCCACAAAACGGCCCAGGTGGCTACCAATGCTCCAGAGAAAAAAACACCAGTTGAACATAAACTTGCTTTGTGTAACCAAGCTTGCTAACCACTGGCAGAGCATCTGAGTCATTGTCATATTCAAAACCTGGTAGCGCACTCTACCCAATGTAAAGAAGTACAAGGGACGAAAGATGTTCATAAGTCTAAGCTCCTACCCAGGTCATCTGGGCATGCCGAATCGACCTCCTGCATGCTCGCCAGGATCATGTGGATCCTCAGGCTCCAGCAATAAGCCAACAAATCGGTTCAGTGCAAGTCGATACGTGATATTCCAAGCCGGACTCCAGGGGTTCCCGGGGTTGTCTTAACCGTTTTTTGGAATCCCTTTTTTCATCGGCAGCTTGGTCGGCACCTTTGGGTCCAAGACATGATCCAAACAGACTCCAAGGGTAGATCTCGGTATGGGCACCTTGCCAATGGCATCGATTGCAACACGAATGGCTTCAGAAGACGTGCGCAGCCGATAGTGCTAAAAATCGCAATTAGCCGCTTCCAGCGGGCAGGGCTTCTTTTGGCTTCTCTGACAAGCACCACCAAGTGTGCAAACCATGTCTGGTGAAACTGCCGTCCAGCATTTCCTTGATGTGGCATACACATGCAAATAAGCTTGACCCCATGAGGTCACAAATTGTTCGTCCAGAGCGGCTTGAATGCTGGCATGGACAGTTTGCGGGCCTGGTGCAAGCAGGCTGCTAGAACAACAGGACCCAGCAATAGAACCCGCAAATAAACACATGCATGCTGCATGATCATGCTTGCATATTGAATCTAACAATGTCAGACATGGTGAATCAGACCCTTTGCAAATCAGGGCGCCACTATCGGTTCAAGCAATATTTGCCATTACATTGCCCGACCTTTGGTGAGGTACAAAGCTTCCTTCACGCGGGGTGTCTTTTAACCCGGATCAGATCACATTGGGTTTCTTCGAATGATGGACTTTCTGTTGGTAGGTATTTCAAGCGAAACCAAGAGGACACCATCGTGGGCAAAGGGCACTAAAAAATCGACCGGGATCCGTCTTACGCAGTGGAGGCTTCAAAGTGCGGGTTTCTCTCGACATGGGGGGGCCTCACAAAACTGCATCTGTAACCAACCCCACAAAGGGTACTGATCAAACACAATATGTTCATGGTCATGCTGCGCTCGTGCGCGCGCATGAACGCGTTCCACAACGGAATCCACAAACAGCGCCACACCTTTTGGTCAAGAGTAAAGACATGTGTACTGGGATAAGGCTCCAATGTGTACAATCTTGAAGAGGTCCACAAAAGGCCTTCTAGCGCAAGGGAAGAGTCACCCTCTTTCAACATTTATGGCCAGGGACCATATTTTTTCTTGAAAATCTGCGTGTCCACTTCTGCATTCGAAAAGGCTGTAGCAAGCACAAGCTGCCCTCTTCCACCAGGCTTTCTTGTCCATGGTGGCCTTTGAATGACACGGCTCACCCCTCCAATGGGTTCCGGATTGGAGAGCCGGGTAGGCCGCAAAGGAGATTAAGGACTTTTCAGGATGAAGCATGGATGTCTGGACCCTCAAACTACTATACACAAATACCTTTCTGGCGTCTGCCCAATAAGCTCTGAGGCTCCCACATCTGCGAGGTCCACTGGACAATGTTGGTTGGCCTAAGCCGGAGCGCTGCCCCGCCATGGGCTAACCTCTGGATTCTTTTGTGTCTTGCTGGCTGCTGTTTACCCTCCCGATGCACAGGCCCTGTTTGCGCAGTATGTCTAGTCTAGAGACTGTGTCGCAATGTGGCGATCAACTTTTATGGGAACCATTCTGGTGAATGTCCCAAATTTGCAAGGAGGGAAACCGCAGCTGACCGCAACTTGCTACGGTCTTGCGATTGGATCTGGTTGGCTCATTTGAGCGGTGCTGAAAACTCTTGCAACAAAAACGGTACCCTGAGTTTGCCTTCGGACAACCTCTTGCGATGCTTTCGCGACCACATGCTTTTGGTTTCGCGGGATTCTTGATCCTTTTTGGGATTGCTTTCGCAGCGGACTCTGCGAAACACAGCCTTGGGAATGTCCGCTTTCGTGGGGCTGTTGCGGGACCTCCCTTAGGCACTTTCGCGCTAGGCTTTCGCATCCGCTTCTTAGCTGGCTTTTGGCGGCTTGACCTGGGTATGAATCAAGATTAAATTCCTGGAAAACCCGCAGGTTGTAGTTTTTGTCTCCATTTGCCAGGATTCCATTTTGGGTACCTATTTTTCATCCACAGCCATTTGTTGTGGATGTTGACGAGCATGTGGCAGTTGGTTTGTAAGCTTATTCGGCGCCCCGGGGCGAAAATTCGGCGCCGCCGGAAGATCTAGGTACCTATTTTTGACCCATGGCCCCCTCATCTGGCTAAGCTGGGCGCTGCTCATGCTTCTTCTCTGCCTCCTGATCTCTTCGCCGGCTGCCCTGGCCGCCAGCGGCTGGTGGCTGTGGCTCACATGGCTGTGGGTCAAAACCCTGTACCCCTGGTGAACATCAACATAGGTGGCACATGGACGTTCATCCACCCGAAAATGGAGCCATAGGTTACTCCCCTTGGCCAAATGGAGCTAAAGACTAAAGCCGCAGCCCTAGCTCTTTCATTTTGAGCCGCACCCATGTGAAAGCCTGCTGACTCAATTGCGACACTCGGCCAGAAAACGCGTCAAGGGGCCCCGAAAGGAGCCATAGCATTCGCGGTCTCAACTATATGCTCTGGGGATGCTCCGGTGCCAATGACTTTGGAGAGAATCTGTGTCATCTATAGACTTCTTGTTGCCTTTGGGGGTTGACTGTCTTCTTGCACAACGGCCACTGCGATTCCGATGTACTTCTCCGCAAAGTTTGACAAATCAAAGTGATACGCTGGTTCACTGCTTCAATATTTACCGGCATAAGAAGAATGAGGAGTGTTACAATGGGCACGTCTCAACTAGGGACTTTTTGAATGACAGCAACATCACCGCAGGAAACCAGCTAAGAAAGAGAAAGACCAGGTTTCAGCAAGAATCCAAAGGTAGCAACTTGATCCCCACTGTGGATGGACAAAAACATGCACCACCAAAGCAACCCTGGTTCCGGATCAAGTTTCAAAGTGGTGCAGGATTTCGCCCAACCACAGTAGCAAATAGCAAAACCCGAGGGAAACCAGACCATGCATTTTGCCTTGTGGTGAGTCTTTCACGTCAGCTTGAAGAACCTGCTCGCTCGGCCTTCTGCTCCTCTTCTTCATCCAAGGGCAACGTCTTCGCAGAGAAGATGTCCAGTTCCTCGATGGGCGCATGCCAAAATCAACACTCTCAATGGGCCGTGGTCTCGGTCCCCTTACTTTGGATGCACAAGACTAGGAATCTACACGGTTGTCCAAAATGCCCATTCAGGGGGTTGATGATATTCCTAGTCATTTGCCCTTCTGCACACCCGACCGCACCTTCAAGAGCCAAGCACCCAAAGGTCAGGCTTGAGCACATTTCGAGCAGAGTGTCTTCGAGTGAACGAACAGCAACCATTATCTCACTTCCTGAGTTGATTGGCCCCAACAAAAAAAGAACGCCCAAACCACGGTAGGTCCAAACGCAAACAAAATTAAACACCAGAACACAGGGAGTGAGTTCTACTAGTAGCTTGAAAACGAAAATGGTGGCAAATGACCGTTGCTTTTGCTCTACTGTCCCCTACCCTCGGTCTTGATGCGTGTGTGTTTGTCCAACATGTGATTCGTCATATTATCCAGTTCAGTTGATACATTGAGGCACCATGTTGCCAGCCTCAGACAAGTGTAGTGTAAGTATGTCACCCACCTGTAAAGCCCCAAACCGGATCCAGCGATGGGACTGGGACGGCACCAATCGGAAAACGCACACCCCTGGAAATCCATCGGAAGACTTCGCTTCATATTCTTCGCCCTGTCCGACCCTCAACCCTGACACTCTGGAAGATGATACACGAATGGGTCCAATCTCGGGATGAGACGCAACCTGCTTGGTCGGAGCTGTATTTCCATCCAAAGAATCCTCCACCATTAAGAATCCTTGCGCAGTGGAGACAAATGGCCGTTTTGCAATGTCAACCGCACACCTGAGTCAAACAAAGTAAGCCACCACAGGGATCCTTACATTATACACCTGAACGTTGCCTTGTAAATGGTAACGTCCCTTTATTTTGGTGGAAAAAGCCATGTTTCAAATGGGCAAAATGTATCTGTTAAGGAGCCCTGGCCAGTTGGATCGCTTTGTTGAGCTGTTCATGGATGCTGCTAGTTATGGCCATCAGCACACTCACAACGGCCGCATGTTCGTTAACATCCACAAGAAATGGCTGTGGGTCAAAAATACGTGGCCAAAATGGCTTGCCCTGGTAAATGGAAACATGGACTAAAACCTGCGGTCCCCCCTGCTGATTAAATTTTGACCAATACCCAAATGAATCGCTTGAATCTGTGAGTTGCATTCCACTTCCTATTGCTTTGAGCCGCATGAGGGCGATGTCAAACACGCTCCAGCCTCCACGGTGTAGTCGGCTCCCAAGAACTCTTGCAGCGGTTGCAAGTGGCCCTCGCCTAACGCATTCCGGCGGCTCGCGTGAAATTCAAACAATTGCCAACCGCAAACAAGGAAACACTCCTATAAAAGAAAAACAAAAAAACAACAAAGCTTTGTCATAGGTGCGGTCGCATATAGGAAGGTCGTAAACCAAGACCCTTGAAAGGTCGCGACAATTTGCCCAGAACAATGCAAAAGGTTCCAACTTCAACTATCTTGGAAATGTTGGCGTGTGTGTGTGTGTGTGTGTGTGTTTGTGTGTGTGTGTGTTGGCGCGTGTGAACAGTCAGTTGGAACACTCTATTTCAGTACCTGGTTTTCAATGAATGTCAAGTCGCGAACACCCAATACATGGATTAGTCCTTGGAATCATGGGTGGCAGCAAGCCCACAGGAGTGTACAATTTGGACCCAGGCCGCGCTCCAGAAAGCTGCCCCAAAAAGCTTTGCTGCCGGCATCTGAGCTTCCCGCACAGCTGCTGAATGAGCTTCAGCCTGAGCAGTCTGCTCCAGGGCTCGCGGTTGCTGTGGCCTTCTGGAGCTTCTGGGGATGAAAAAGCGCACTTCCGACCGATCGAGGGCCAAGCAAAGCAACCAAACATTTCACACCTCACGCGTAGCATGCAGGATAAATCATGCACTGTGGGACTGCGCGGCTGGTGTGAGGCATCATTTCTCATGCTCTGCCTGACTTTTGAAGGCATGTGCCATGGTCAAAATTTGCGATATCCTGGTTGGGCATGGGCAAGTACCTTGAGAGTCCCCGCTGTTTTGTGGCAGATTCTTTTTTAGGGAGTCCCCCATGTACCCACCAAATTAGCCATAGACAAATTAAGACACATTGAACGAAACTCACATGGTTTTAAACCAAGTCTGTAAGCCTGCAAAGCTGTGCCGGGGACAGTCACATGGCACAAAACGGGGCCCGCCATCTGCTCGATGCACCATGCTCAAAGAAACATGATAAAGAGGGCTCCTTGGAAGCAACAGCTAAGCCGGCAGAAAGGATGCAACCCTGCAAACAAGCTGCCAGGGACCCCAGTGCATTCAATTCTGCAAGCATGGAACATGTTGTGTTTGCACATTGAGGAAATGGATCCATAACAGAACTGCAACAGCGTGATCAGATTTTTTCAGGAAAAGAAGAGTCGGTTTCGAGCTGTTACGGTCTGTGTCAGAAATTTGTGGTTGTTTTCATGTTTGGGTCGCCAAACGACATCTCGGGGTGGTCTCAATTATTTCAGTTTATAATACTTAGTATTCGTCTCTTCTCATTGGAGCTTCAAATGGCCTGCATGGATACCCGTGGTCATCAGGATCCAAAGCGCGTAAGAATTTGTCCCATCCCCACGTGCACGCTACACCATAATTCGAGGCTTATGCAAGAAAAGGATGCGGACACTAGTACTAGATGACGCTCTCATGTTATATAAAGTATAATGCGCCCAGAATAGGCTCCCACTGGGGCCAGTGCATTCCGGCCATCATGTCAATGTGATTCTCCGTATAGGTGTCACCTCAGGCAAGACGCTCTGCGAGTCTCCTCTATGCGATGGCGCTGGCTTCGGGCTTTGCAAAATCAGACAGGTGCAGGCAGTGCTGGAATCAGCTAGAAAGCCCTGTCCACTTTCCACGATGGTTGGAAAGAGGGGACAGTTTTTGGGACCTAAAGGACGCCGAAGCACTCAAATCTTGCGGAATTGAGCAGTAAAAAACGCTCTACATGTTGAATCCGTTGGCTGTCCCTCCTGAAAGCCGCCATCGCAGAGCCTATCTGGGCCTATCGACCCCATAGCTTTCCGCTGTTGCGGAAAAAAACGAAGAACCTACACCAAAAAAAGGGCCCCCCTTCCCTGACGGACGAATTAACCCCCGCACACACATTTGGCGCCCCAGCGCCGGTAGAGATCTTCGAAGACGCAGAACTGGAAGCCAATGGCCTGCGCTTCCAAGCGCGCCACTCAAGTCATTGGCTCCAAGTCTGCAACAGGTCCCATGAGGTCTCCATCATGCATAACATCAGCTTCCCCCAATTTGTGGTTTGGAGGTCTTCCTGGGTGGTTTCCAACCTGCCCTCTACAAGAAGGGGTTCACATCCCCAAGCAACCAATCCAAACCACCAACGAAGAGTACCCTCGAAAAAGACACACTCACATTCTACCCTCCCCAACAAATATAAAGGGGCTCCGAAATTCGCCGAACATGCACCGAACCACTGTGTATGGACGAACTCCTGCACTGGTTGGTAGGTGAGTTTATCTCAGCATTTACCGGGTTTCATCCGTCCCAACTGGTGCGACGTGGATTTGTGGAGGGTTTGTCTGCAGCGAAGCACATCCAATAGAGGACATCAAATCTGGGCTCAATCAGGTCCAAATGGGTATGGGTCAAAATGAAGCCACCAGGTCCTTGGTTCCATTTTTCAGGGTTTCATTTTGGGTACCTATTGTTGACCCACAGCCAAATCAATATCCCTTCTTTCCGGCTTTCGTATTTCCCTGTAGAACCCGAAAATGGGGACGACACGCAATAAGCAAACAGAGATTCAGAAAGCCATGCACGAAGCAAAGCAAACATCGCACCCTCCCATCAACCGATAAAGCTGTTTCGCGAGAGAAAGTCAGGGCCAGTTTTTCGCACAATGCAAAACAACCAAAACCCTCAAAGAACAAGGGAGTTCATCCCATAATTTTGGGGCAATAATCCAGTTTGAAGGGAAATTTGAGGTCCAGGTAGACGATTTCTCCTCTCCCTGAGATATTTGTCGTCTGTCCATTTAATTTGGAGATCCATGTAGAGATGTGACCAACGGTTGACGACGACGCCAAAATCTGCTCCGCGGTGCCAGGTGGCAGGAAGAAAACCCGGGAGATAAGGATGGAATCCAATAAACTGGGACCCAAGTGCGAGTTTTTCCCCGAGGGCCCCTTGTTCAAATGCAGAGGTAGAGGCCACATTTGAGCGCGCCCAAGAAGACATGCATATGGGGATGCTGCCCCACCAAACGGGATCATTGCGGTTGCCCATGCTCAACTCTCAACCTGTCTGCATGGAGTCCATGGCTGGCTTTGCTCAAGGGCCTGGCGAGCCAAAGGATGTGACACTTGGCGGCCTTGCCTTCTGCAAGTGCATGTCGTCGCTGGTGTGGGTCTTGTACGCCTGGAAACCACTAGAGGTACTGAACTGGGGCATCTCCGTCAGCCAAATGCCTAGCTGACCTGCACTCAGGATTAAGCAACATGTTATGACGCTTGTTGGCGAGAGGGCAACCCGCTGCCATCTAGTGGTAGATACAAGAGGGCAACCATATATAGTTTTTAATGCCATCTGCATTCATGACCGACGTTCAATCAAGTTGCCGAAACAGCCTACATACAATGACAAGACAGGTAGTTGCCGCAGGGCCACTCCCATCGACCCTTCAACTCGCCCCAAACAAAGTGCAAACCGCTACAACACCCTCCCAGCGGTCCACTCCCAACCCACCGTCAGCCACTCCCGAATCATGTACCGCGCCAAAATGTGTTTTGTGTAGGAACCCTTCTTGGCAGGACTTCAATGAGAGATCAAAGGCACTAACCAAAAGGGTCCACCTCAAACAATTCGGACCCAAAGAACACGATGTGAATCTCAAGCAGATGAATTTCTCCCAGAACAAGTTTTGAACCCATCCTTGAAGGGGCTCCTTAATCTAAGACACATAGGTATGGGTGTGTCTTTTTGAATGGGGAGGACATGTTTGTAGGACATTCCCAGACAATTTCCGGTAGCCAGGATTGTACCTCTAGGACATTCAAGCAGTACCCGGGTCTCTCCTGGCAAGTCCAAACTGCTGGATCTCTCTTAAGTGAATGAATTGGCAAGTCCAAACCTTTTGTCGACCAACCGTTCAGGAACTCGAGTGAGGTGAACTCACATGCAGGTCGGCCCAGGCCCTCCCAAAGTCCAAAAAGTCGAAGCTCCTCCCACTGCTCCCTAAGGGCTGGGCAGCCATAATTGGATGAAACACAGGATGGCAACCAAAATCAGCTTCCAGATTGGTGGGTTTCTCATGAATTTCTTTAACTTGCCGGTGCCAGGGGTTTGCGAAATGAACCTGGGCCCCGGGGGATTCCCTCAAGGGAAACCATAGGGGATGGTTTATAGGAACCGTTCCATTTCTCATTCTTTCCCGAGGACCAGCAGGCGACCTTTTGATGGAAAAAGACTCGGACTTTTCCCTCGTACATGGCGTCAAACTAAAACCAGTGAAACCCATCCATTTCTTACCAAAAACCGATCAACACAAACCAGCCCGAGCATTGGTCAAAGAAAACGGGCACCCAGAAGACGTGGGCGCCTCCTGCAGCGCCACGTTGGGATCCCGCAGAATCCGGCAGCCCAGCTTGAAGGCTTCCAGCCGCATCAAGGCCTCCGACTCAGCTCAGGGTCCAACCGCTCCAGTTCCGTCGGAAAACCGAGCGGCCTCAAAGGTGACCACCTTGTGCCTTGTAAATGGAGGTGTTCCCTTTACTTTGGTGGAAAAAGCCTGCCATGTTTCAAATGCTTGCAACATGTATCTTTTAAGGAGCCCTGCTGAGTAACATGTGAGTCACTTGCTCAAAACTCGCAATCCCAGAACCATGCTTCAAGAACTCAGAGGGCGGAGATCCACAGCTATGGCAAGGGGATCGTCCCTTACTAACCTTCATCAATCCCCGGGGTTTGAGCACGTGGCTCACCTTGTGGAACCATGGCGAACGCTCCCAGTCTTCATGGCGGCTTGTCATACTCGACCTTGGTCTAACCTGTAGCGGCTCACCTTTTGGAACCATGGACCAGACTAAACATAGACCAACATGGGAAAAAAACACAAGGTGAACAAGTCGGCTTTGGGAAACTGTGAACATGTTTCTGGTTCACCTCCGTCTTGCTGGGTTTATGGGCCCGCAAGCTTGAGAGGCTAAAGCTGGGTCCCAAAAATTATGTTCGGGGTTGGTTTGAGAACACAACAAGGCGGAACATCACCCCACTTGGAGGGCTGCCACCTTTGGAGGCAAACCCAATCCCAAAGCACTTGACGATTCGGAAAAGCTGATGTTCAAGAGGGTCAAACACCAATGCTCGAGAGACATCAGACATCTACCGTCTTCTCTCCTCGGGTGTGCTAGAAAATAAGCTTTTTGCGGCACCTAAAAAGGTCATCCGCATGATTGGCTTACTTCGAAAGGGGGTTCCCATGCCAATCACAGTGCCGCAGCTTCTTCCGGGTAAAACACAGTTAGACAACTCTCCAAACCAGCGCTGCTTCTAAACATGCCCATATCCGTGCGTTGAGCAGGCACCTCTCACTTCCGCAGGGATTGATTTTCCAAACAAGTGCAAACCTTTGGTTTACCGCTGGCCTGGTTTCCCAAAAAAGGATACCTTTTGGTTGTACAGCCTGCAGATCTTAAGGGGTTGCCGGGATTCGCACCAAAACGCACAAAGAGAAAAATCATGGCAGGAGGTTTGGCGGATGTTGAAGGGACCCCCCACCAATAAGGACAAGGTCTGGGAACCAGTCTTAGACATGGCTTGGGACAACCCTGGCTTGGAGGGCCACCCTTTGGGCTGGCCCTGGAAGCAAGGAGGTATTCATGCGCTGCTAGGCGTGATTTCTCCTGGAAAACTTCGAGCGCGGTATGCGACATAAGTTTACGTGTATATTATATGTATTCTGTGTATTTTCCCCAACAGCTGAAAGCTTTGGGGTCTCAGCCCAGATAGGCTCCGGGGTGGTCCGGGCGGCCCTGAGATAAGGTTGCACGAGGGTTCCACCAGGGTTCCACGAGGGCTTTACAAGAGGGTTCCACGAGGTTCTGCGAGGGCTGGGTGGTGCGAGCACTAGAAAGACCTCCGCATGCTGTTGGGGATATCGTATATACACTCCTTGCTTTTTGTGAGACTGTCAGCGCTAGACACAAAACTGCTTCTCTGCAAATGTGCGTCAGGAATAGCATTTCTGCGGCGATGTCAAGCAGCGCCATTTGGTTGTACTTGCAGTTCAGGTTTGGGTGAAAGTCAAAGACCGTAAAACAAAAGATTTGGTTTCGACAATTCTACCCGCACGGCTTTGTTCCGGGCTTTTGTCATTATATAAAGGGAAAAGATCGAACACGTAACCATCGCTGGCAACGCCCAGTGTGCCTGTGGGTGGTAAAGCAGCATCGATACCAGCATCAAGGGGTCCACTTCTTGCACTTGTGCCTGGCGAATCGACATCAACGCGAATCGGTTGACTTTCTGAGCTAGAAATCACATCACGACCAAGTCTAGGGAGCGACTCTTGGCTGTCGCTTGGACTTGACACGAATCTAAAACAATCCTTGTCGATTTTTTTTACCAACACCTTGGGGTGAAACTCTGTCAAGGATTAGAGCGAACTAGAGTCAGATCGGGCAGCTTACAGCTAGACATGTTTTCTAAACTTGTGTTGCAAATGGCAGTCATGTCCAAGCCTGGGACGTGCCAGGAGTGCATTGGCTACTATCGATGTATGCCGCTTTAAAAGGCTCTGGCCGGTGTCCGGCAAACAGGCTTGGGAAGTAAGCACCTGTTGTTCGTGAAGACGAACATATGGCTGTGTCTCCAAAGAAGGGAACCCCACAAAAATGGGCCCCGCCCGGCTTTTCTTGTGGTGTCCCTTAGAAGACAGGGTAAAAAGACTACCTCAACCACCACACAGCCCCCATATATCTTGAGTCAAAGCTTTCGGCCCCGAAAACCGCCGGCAACCAGACCCGCACAGGCAAAGAAAATGATGACACCCGTCACACCGGTAAACACAGGTGAACACAAATGGGTATGTGTCGTAGACCCCGCAACTGTGGTTCTTCTCCAGGTCTTCCTTGAAAGCAAGATGAAAGGGGCACCCTCGGAAAACAATACACCTATAGACACACAAACAAACACGTCACCATCAGGTGCAGGTCCAAGAAATTGAGTGAACTGAATAACCTTTATGCAATGTCCGACCGTTGAAAGGATAACACAAACAACATCAAGCAGCGGAAATTGCGGTGGGCGCTCAAGTTGGACAAGTGAGGAAAGCCCTGTTTGTCAACTCCTACCTGATCAGCCCGCGAAGAAGGATGAGCTCATGAGTGCAAAAGCACTTTGCGTGATTTTTGGCGACTCGTGATCCAGTGCCCAGCGACAATGGTAGAAAATTGGATTCCTTTTAAATTTGACCAACAAAAACCAAAAAGGGATGCAACTGAATAACTGGAATGATAACCCTACTCAAAGTCCATTACTCCGGGCAGTTCGCGGTCGGCCTGGATTCATGCTGATCTGCCTCTTCCGACAGAAACAATTTTCCTCACAGTATCGGCCAATGTTCTCTAGATTCTTCTTTAAACATTACCCCACCAAAATGAGCCCTCCCTTCAAACTGGTCAAAGGTGATGTTTCAACCATTTAAACATGAACAATTAAGGGAAGCCCTGGCTGGTCCATACGCATCGGCGAGCGAGCGTCAACCATGCCCCAGTCATGTTGTCCTTCTCCCAGGCGGCTTGCAGAATGCGCACTGGTTGATTGAACCCCCCAAAACAAACACCGTGCCACACTTTCAAACACTTGACAGTTGCTGAGTGTACATTTCCCATGCCTTCCTTTTTTGTCCACGCCCACAAACGGCGTGATGTGTTCCCTGAACCTATCCTTACATTTAGGCAAACTCTCAGGTTTGGGTTGGCAACCAGAACACCAAGGACGCGACGTCCCGAGGTCGTCGGCTCTCTGAAAACGCCGGGGACGTCGCTGGTCGCCTCGTCGAAGAAGGTCTTCAGCTTCGCCACCACCGAGCCGAAGCTGCCCGCTGAGCCCGCCGCTGCCTTGGTGTCGCTGACGTAAGGGCGGCTGCTTTCCTTTTTTTGGGGTGCCACGTGTTTGGTGGGTTTAAAAAAGAAACCCAAAAGAAAACCAAAAGGCTTTTGTGGGTTGCCCCTAAAAAATGACACAACCAACTGGGCCTAGGGTACCCTTTTTTGGATTGCGGTTGAGGGAAACCAGAGATACATCAAAGGGATTCCACTGGTCTGAGGGGTTCCCGTATTTTGAGACAAACCCATATTGGCATGGTAGGGCATGCAGGAGGCGGGATATACACATGGATGTGCATTTGGGCACAACAAATATGCTACAATGCTTGAGAGGCAGGGTGAAAGCAAATGGCCCAATTCCAATGGACAAGTAAAGGGGATGACTCAACTAAACCAACAGCCAGCAACTTGGAACCCGTCAGAAGGTCTCAGAAAGAGAAACAGGCTTCCAGTCAGGTTCCGTTCCGTGTTGGAGATCTCCGCAACGAATCCAAAAGCCCGGGCCCTCTGTCGAGGGACGTTAGTTCGACTCATCTTCCGATTGCCTCAGAAAATATACGGGCTTGTACATACGTATATATATATGTATTTCTTTGAGGGACCACGAAGGGCACCTTTTGTTGCTCTCAAAAAGAAGCTGGGAAAAGCTGCCATCAAAAGAGACGAAATGCTACCCTGCAACCTTCCTAGGGGGACTATGCAAAGGGGTCATCGCTGGATAGGACAAGCCAAACAGAAAGGCTTGTTCCAAACAAGGGCGTAAAAAGAAGATAGCCCCCCTCCCAACAGCCACCCTTGGTACATGAAACACAGAACCCCAAAACGCGAGGGTCCCCCGTATATTTGTCTGCACGTCCCCTTTCTGTCCGTCCATGAGCCTTCGAGGGCTTCCAAAGGCCCAGACTCAGGGACCTGAAATGGTGGACATTTCGGTTGGGAATCATATCCACCCGCCACTGTTGAGGATATCAAATTTCTCTTGTGAAGGCTCAAGTGAGAGTTTCGCGTGGGTTGGGGTGCAACCCAGCTCCGATTGATTTTTGGGGGCAACAAATCTGAACCTCCAGCTGGGAAGCGGAACCCTATCTATAGAGATATTCTATCTATATATGGTCATTCTAGCTCATATATATATATGCATACAAAATACACATGCAAACACATGCGCTCAACTCTCCCAAGGCGCGGAAGCTTAGAGGTCCTGCAGACAAACATCGTTTCAAAAGGGTGCCCGTGAAGATTGGCGCCTTGGCAAGTGCTCAAGGCCAAGGTCAGACAACAAACCAGAAAGAAAACAAACAGAACGACAAAAGGCCTCACATCATAATTGCTCAAAATAAACCAGGGTTTGTCCATGAGAGTTGTAATTATGGGGTGGTGGTGCTTGGGTTTGGCAGGCTCCTCATACAGACCTGCTTGGGGACCTGAATTGGCAGCTTGCCCCCGATAAAGCCGCTAAGGGTCTTGCCCAACTGGTCAACCAAAAACAAACCCACAATTGGTGAGCACCAATCTCAGCTCCAGCACCCTCCTTGACACCAGTCCCAGCACCAGGCTTGCACATGCAACTAATTCTGACATCAAGACATGCACACACCAGCATGCGTACATCATACATAGGGCGACAACGGCACAAGTGCAGGAAAGCCAAGTTTTCCATTGAGAAAGCATTTCCCATCGACATGGGCCTTGGTTGATCCCCTTTGCATGCTGTTCGGTTGGAAGGAGGCAGGGGGAGCCAGAAAAGGCATTCCAAACCTTACCTCCCCCAAAATGGTCCCGTAAAGGATACATTTGGGTTAAATTTAAAGCCTTCTGTACATGCTGTTTCAAAAGGTCGCTGCATGTGGGCGACTTCTTGTTGTGTTCTTTAAGGGACCCTCAAACTACCATCAAACATGGTTGGCATTGCCAACCACAATGATTGGGTGATTCCCACTTTTAAGGGTAGTTTGAGGGTTCAGGTATCCTTCAAGGGACCCTCCTCCAACTTCATTAGGGTCTGGGGCCAAGCTTCAGGTGTTGAGCAAGCCGCAGTCTGCAGGTAGCTGAAGGGACAGAAGAAGGTCGCCTACGAGCACTAGGCCCCCATGGCCTTGTCTCAGAGCGGAAGCCCCAGAATGAGTGAGTCCTCGGTTTCCCTTAAAACCAAAAGGTGCCCTTAAAAACGAGCAACCAATATTCAAGGCCAGCAACTTGAGCCGGGAACAACTTAATCCCTGTACTCTAAAAAAAAAAAAAAAAAAAAACGGCCCAGTTGCACAGCAGAAGCGAAATGGCATGGTCCTATTTTGGAAAAGGGTTGGCCAGAAACACGCATTTTGCAAGCTCCATCGGGTGCTTTGTGTTTCCCGCCATCTGGGAAACCTCTTTAGTTGTTGGGGACATCGTCTTAGCTATTTCATGGCGACTTGATGGCCTCTTTCACTGGCTTCCCGTTGTGTACCATTCACAAATCCCTACCCCCCCCCCCGCCACTGAAAGACAACTGACGTAAAAATGGGCCAGAAGGTCTCGCAAGCGCCGGCTTGCTGTGCTACTACTGCATCCAACGTTACACGCCCCTTGACTGTACGGTATCTTGTGTGTTGAAGCCAAACGGCCATCTCAGCCACGTCGCAACTCTGCTCTGACGCATGTGCAATCATTGGCTGAAGCGCAACTGACAAACCACAACCTCTCCCAAAGCATGTGGCGCCACAAACCATCATGTCGAATTCACATGTGCCATCGCCAAACCTCCTATTGGATGTGGTTATGATTCCCTCACAAGCAGCCGTGCTATTAGCTGCAAAAAGGTGGATGACACCCCAATGGCCTCCCAGGCAGTCAAGCTATGTTTTGACCCTGGCACGTGTGCAGGCAATAGTATATATATATACCTCTGGCCCGCCCTAGGTTTTTGAAAGCGAACATGGCGCGGCAGTAGTTCGGGAGGGGGTCAGCGAACAAGCCCCCAATACACGTGTCGTCATGTCCCCTTGAAGCCTCAATCTGTTTTCTTGAGCTGTCCTCTGTCACGCGCAGTGTTCACACAAATACACGAACCTTTGAAGATACTTTGCTGGCGCTTTCAGTACTGTTGAGTCACGCTCACTCTTTCTGTCGGGGTTTGCTATCTCCGTGTTCCAGGAGAGCAGTACACAAATCCAGCCTCCCACCCGCCACCAACAAGCGCTTTCAGCCTTCTCAGTGAGGAAGGTGAGGTTCATCTTGCCGTTGGGGTTGTTTACAATGCACTGAGAGCCTCAGCAACGATCGCAGAGATCAAAAGCCAGCCCAAGATTTGGTCCCCAGCTCGGGAGGATCGCATATACTGCAAGTCATATCGGGTGGTTTCCTTTTGGTCTCCCCTGCAAACCAAGGCCAAAAGAAAAACCAACGAACAGGTACGCTCATTTCCCTGCGCAGATCAAACATGGTTCTTTGGGAAGCCATCCATTTAGGGAGATTCGCTTTGGAATGTTGAGACAACATATTGGAGTTATTCCGGCAACAGCGGCATGTCTCTCACTTGAGTGGATTGGCCAACTTCGGACTTGTTGTTTACCGCTGACATAGTTTTCCCTCAGACCAGGAACAGTGAGAAAAGCCATGCTGTGTTGATACCACGGGTGTGAATTTTGAGAGGCGCCCTTTGTGGACATCCTTTACCCTCTTTCCAACAATGGAAGTGGGCAGGCCTTTTCAAAAGGACTGTCCTCTGAAACCCGATTGTCAGCTGCGATTGGAAGAGGGGTGGGGGTTCATGTCCACAAACCATGTTTGAGGCTCCGTATCAAAATTCGTAGCTGTAGCTCCATCGGGGAAGTGAGTTCTGGCAGAAACTCGGGAACCTGTGGGTGGCACCCCTTTGGAATCGGTTTTAAAGGGAAACCAAAAGAAAGCAGTCGCCATGTTTGGAAGTCCCCTTAATTCTTGCATTTGAGGTAGTTTTCGAATCTACCAGTTGTGGAGTGGTTTTTCCATGGGAAATCAAATGCGGAACACCGGACACCCGCATTTTCGGAGGTTCCCCGAAAACTATACTTTTTGCCTTCTAGTGGAAAACCATGGGGACCCCATTAACGAACAAAAAGAACGAGGGGAGCCAATTCTGGGGAAGTCTGGAGGCTCCATGACGTCTACCGTCTACCGTTCGGCGAAGCGGCTGGAAGCAACAGCTCGCGCCCAGAGCTCTTCAATCAGCTCGTTGCGGCTCAGCAGCTCCTGAATTTTGAGGGTGCCAGCCGTGAGACATTTCTTGTGCAAGCGGATAGACATTGCCCCAGGGTTCAAGCCAGCTTGGATAGCCATCCTTGGGAAAACACTGGTGATAAGGCCCCTCCCCATTTTTTTGATGGTGGATTGAACCCCAGGGATTGTGTTCCCAACTGACATTGGATTTTGGCGAGATTCCCATTTAGTGGTATTTGTGTGAGTGTACCCCATGTCACCCTTTACTACCATGTCACCTGCTATACTACCGTAGGTGACAATACATGTCGGCCAGTGTAAATGTAAGAAAATTGGACAGTCCCATAGTTCGTTCAGGTTGAACCTCAGTGAGTTCTTCCAATGCCCTCTCAAATGGACAGGATATGATGGAAAAACCCAGGCAACACATACACAAAGTCAGCTATGCAAAGCTTTTGATGTCCAGCCTCCGCTTCCGGAACCTAACAGCCCATAAGGCCCATAACTGTTTCCCGGGTCGACATCAGCGGGGTGGAGGCTTCAACTTGGTATGTTTGAACTGGCAAATGTGATTCAGCGACTTGACCAGTTGACAAATTCCGTGCAAAGGGACACCACAAGCATGGAGACGAACGTATAAGCCAATCAAAATGACAAAGGCATAAAGTCAAATTGACCATTTCGTATGTGCCAAGTTTCACAACAAGATGAGCCAATCAAAGTACCTGGTTTCTCTACTGGGCATGTGACGTGCAAACACTGCGAGGACAAGTCAGGCTTTGTGGAAAGCTTAGAGTGGCCCCCTTGCCCTTCCCAAGCCATCTGTATTGACCGAACCTCATGTGAATCCAAGTTTGCCTGCTCATTAAAGTTGTGAAAGATTACTCTCAGTTTCATGATCTTGACAGGAATTATGTTGTGACAGGAAGGGAATGTGTGTGCGTGCGAAGCCTTGAGGCTGTGCCACACAAGCAAATACAGTATAGATGACTCCGGAAATCACCGGCCAAATGATGTCTGACGCTTGCTCCATCAGCTAGTGATACTCGGCTTCATGCTGGCTGCTGCACCCAAATTTCTCAGGTAGCCTAGCAACGTTCTCATTTCCGAGCTTCAGAACTTTTTTTTGTGGGGAAGGGACTTTTGTCAGTGGTGCACATGTCGCTTGTACTATGTGACCTGAAGTACTGCGCTCGCGCCGGTTCCTTCCCTCATATTGTGCTTATCACAGTTGAGGGGTGGTGCTCGGACACATTGCATTACATTACATGACACGTTTACTCATCACCGTTCTAACCTCCGCGTCCTGCAGGATGTTCAAGACTGCCCGGCAGGATGACCAAAGCGTGAGCTCCTGGGCCGAATGCAAGGTGAGCTCAGGCAGACACCGCTTTCCGCCAAAAACCACCAGTGGAATCATACCCGGCAGACGAAGCCCGCTGAGAACCACCCGTTTGTTGATACAAATCAAGAGAGTGCACAGTACCAAATACCCTCTGTCTAACAATCAAGAGAGTGGACAGGGGGTTTTGGAAGACTGTCATCCTGTTGAAAAGCTTCCTAGTCCGCTTCCATGATTGTTGCAAAAAGGGTGCATGAGATTCAGTCAAAAAACACCGCATGCGCCCACCGGCCTCAACATCCTTAAGGTGTTTTCTGCCCATCTTGCCAGGTGCGGGGCGGATGGTTTTTCTGGCTCTGGTACTAAAGGAGTCGAGTCGACCCAACAACCCCGAAGCAAATGGGTGTCTTGCCGCCTCACTTGTATTTTGTGCTCTTTTTGGATCAGACACCCCCCAAAAAAAAGTTGTCCTTTTGGTTTCCCTATACACCCGACCCACAGAGGGACCCCTCACCAAAGGACACTATATGGCTGCTGACCTTCACCTGCAAAGGTTGATTGGCTCACATCGGTCTCTCAAAAACTGGGACCTCCCAAAATGGAAGGTTTCATTCTAGTAGTTAATTTCATTGTTTCTTGTTTTTTCTGTTGGGAGGGCCTTTCTTTCAAGCCACAAAACACTGGGTACCAGTACCATCATATTTGACACTATGTTTGCACAAAGGCCACTCTCCCGAGCCAATCAGTATCGGCCCCCAAAGCAACCAAGTTCCACAACACGTGCTGTATGTTATCTAACAAAACCTTGGGTTGGGTTTGCCTATTCGAAAAATGAACCCAATGGTTCGTCTAGAGCAACAACGTCAGTCACGACATGAACACAGAACAACAGGTGATGTTGCTCCACCTTTCTTGCATTGCCTTGGCAGGTTCACTAAACAACGGATAACAAGCAACCAAGAGCTACCGCCCCCTCCCCCGTCGCAACAATCGTGGAAGCTGACAGGATTGCTTTCCTTTGTGGAAGCCCCTGGAACCCACTTCCATGACTCTTAGGAACTTCTGGGTGTACTTGGAATGTGTGCAAATGAACATGTAAAATAAACATTGGAATGTTTCCAAAAATTACTGTTGGGAACCCACTGCTGCACACACCCTTGGAATGATGACTGTTAGAATAGTGTATCCAAATGAACCGAAGGAATTTTCTCTTTCCGGGCGCCCAGGCGGCTGAGCCCTCTCCATGTAGTCCCAGCTCGTCTTTGCTCTCCTCGCTTGCGGAGCCAAATGCTATGCCAACCTCCGCTTACCCAGCCAGCCAGCCAGCCAGCCAGCCAGCCAGCCAGCCAGCCAGCCAGCCAGCCACCCGCAGAGGTCTGTTTTCCGTTGTGGTGAAAAAACTGGAAGGACGCTGTATTCCTCTGACTTTTTCAAGTCAGCCAAGCATGTGACTTGGTCAAGGGGTGGTCCGCAACGGAGAACAGGCCAGGGAGAACGACCCCTACATGATTTCCCTTGCACACAAAGCAAGAATCTATGGAAAAGGGTCTCTTCTCTTACGCCCCATCCTTCCATACATTTGGGGGCGGTAATGATGTTTCCACGCAAGAGTGCTGCATTCTTGGGGAGCAATCCTAAGAAAGCGTTCAAGAGATGGATCCGTTTTGCTAGCAGCCGGGCGAAGCATCGCGTAGGGTTTGGTGAATCTGGAACAGGCACAAGTGATCCTCTCTGGGGCAAACAGCTTCTTACTGCGGCTTTCACAAGCGCATCTGGCCTCACTGCATCTTGGCTGCGGAATATGCTTGCCAATCGCCCAAGGTTCATATGGGTTTGCATGTTTTGAGGGTACCCCAAAAAGGTACACCCACCCAAAAGCGAGCACCCTCAAAAGAAGACACATGCCAACAACACTGCCTGCTGGCCTCCTGGCCTGGATCTTGACTTGACCCTGCTCCAAGAAACCAAGCTGTGATCTTTCAACCTTCTGAGCTGAGCGCTTGCTTTGTGCCAAGAATTCAGGTTGAATCATCCTCAACTGCCCATATGATCAGCATTGATGCACCCTCCAAACAAGGAACCACACCCAAACCTATGCTCCGTGCACGCAGGTTCTGCCCCTCAGCACGCCTGGTCATCTTGGCCTCGGCTTGCGGTATCAAAATTCCCCCTACCCAGAGGCTCCTGGGGCTTTCAATTGAAGACGCGACCACTCCATTAGACACCCCGGAGGTGGTTGGGGATCTCAACACTAGATTGTTTGAAGGCCCTAAATCAATGGGGAGCCTCTGGGTACTTCAAATACCCGCGTCTGTTTCAGCTATACTCTGACAAACACGTGTTTTTCATGGTCAGGGTTAAAACATGCACCGAAAGCGTCAGGAGGGTTCTACAACTTCAAGCGAGTCCAAACGGGGTTGCCTCTGCCGCTTGATCCCTTTTCGCCTAAACCAATCCCTTTGGGCACCTTCAGCGGTCTGATGCGAGCTGGACCAAAGTAACATTGGTTCAGGGGTTGGCATCGCTTGCCTGATTTGCTGGTAGCCAATCAGGCAATAAGGCCTTGCCTGTCGCCCCTTTCCAACAAATGCAGGAATGCTTGAAACTGTGAGAACGTGCCGAGACTGTGACGGGAAGCGAGTGTGGCTTGTGCTGACGCCACCTGAATTGCACCTCCGGCTGAAAAATAAGCCAGTGTAATTTTGAGTCAAACTCAGTTCCAACACTAGCATAAAGCGATTGGTTGGCTACAGTCGTGTGTATAAGACAGGAACTTAGCCTTCATGTCGCAGAACATGAAACCCGTCTTGGACCTCAGGCTTGAGGACAAGCACTCCGTGCTCCTGCTTGGATGACCAGACCAGGGAAGTACGTGGTTTGGGCACCCAAACGAAAAGGGCCCCCACGCTCGCTTCTGTTCTTAAGGGCACCCCTACAATGTTTACCTCGCATAGGAAAATGATCTATATAGGGGGGGTCCGTGACTCGAGGGGTATCCGAAGCTAAGATTGCGTAACTTGAGCCAAACAGGATTCAGAAAGGTAGTTAGACAAGGTTCCTGAACGAATACATCCGACCACACCAGCCTTTTCTTCTGGATGGCTCAATCCCCCTCCGCACCAAACTTATGTTTTTGGTTGAGAGGACAAATCGACAATCATTTACTAAAGACTTAAAGCCAAACGGTAACGATCTACAACAAAAACAGGTTTCGGTTTAGTGGGGAAAAACCAAAGCATCATCTCCACCCAAACTTCAGTCGACCGATCCAACCAAAGAGCACACATCCCTCAGTCCGGGGTCCGCAGCCACTCGCGCTCAGGATGTCCATCTTCTGGATCCCCAGAAATGCCACAGTGCGGATGGCGTGGCACAAACGCCTCGAAGCGCGTCAAATGGTTGCTGACAAATTCCTTGACTAGGTTTTGCAGTAGAGAGGTTAGACCAAGGGTACCCTTTTTTTCTGTAGTCGATTTTAGTAGGGGGACCCTTTCCCAAAAAGGGCAAAAGGGCGCCACTGGGGGACCTAGTTGAAGCATCCATGACCAGCGCTAACCCAAGTAAGTTGGTCCTTTGACCGCTCCACGCATGTACCAATTGTTCAAGCCATGCAATGAAAAGCCGCGCATGCAGCGCTCACGGGCAAAAACGCAGACTCGCCTCCAGGCCACGGGGAAAAAGCACGCCTTTCGAATGGGTGTGGGTAATTACATCTTGGGTGAGGCAAACAGTTGCGAGCCCATGCGAGCCCCAAAAGCCTTGCCGAACATTTGAGAACCTGACCGAGGTTTGCACATGTTTAGAGTTACAACCCAAATCAGGGCCAGCCGAAGCTTGCGAACCCAACCAGCACTATGAAACCAAATGGAGCTGAGCCCACGGCAGGCGTTTTCAGTGTTATCGTTGAGTACTGGGCACATAGAAGCTGGTTGAGTCTGTGGGAGTGTCAAAGTAGGACCCCAAAAGAGGTTGCTTCTCGTCTTGTTTCCAACCAACCCATATTTCTCCCGAAAATCACAACCACGATTCTGGTTCTTGCTGAGCCAGGCGCATGATCCACGTTTGCACCAGTAGCTGCCGTTCCTGGCCAAAGGCAAAGGGGTGCACATGGGCGGAAACACATCTGAGTCACAATCAAAACCCGGAACTAAAATGGTCTACCCAGAACCATGTAAAGAATTAACAAGGCGGCCGCAGCCCTTGGAAAGGAAATATGATCTGGCTTGTCCGTTTTCAGATCCCCCTGCTGAAATGCTTAACTTCTAGTGTCTGACATGGAAACCCCCACTAAACCCCAAAAAATCTGAAAACCTAAGGGGATGGCTGGGAACCACCCAATGATGCCAACATGATCATATAAACCATCCTTCTTGATCCTTTCTTCCATGGCCGAAGAGACCTGGGAAAACATGCTGCCCATACAGCTGCACCAACTGCAGCAGTCACAAAATCAATTTTACCAACTACTGGAGTCTCCGCCTCAGCAATGTATATCGCGTTCCAAAAGGCTGAGCAGGCAAAACTACATTTTACGGGCATGCAGCACTTATATACCTTTTAGAATCTGCCTCAGCGTCAATTGGCAAGCTTCGTTGCAAAACGTAGTCCGGTTCAAACAACCCGGCCAACACGCAAAGGAACGGATAAGAAGGGGTCCTGTTTGTGTTTGAGGTTACTCTTGGGTCTGTCTTTTGATGTTTAAGGTATGAAAAAAAAGGAAAGCACCCATTTTGCTGTTGCCCCATGTGCAAACACACACACATGACCTGAAGCACTCGCTCAAGCCACGTGGCCGGCTTCGATAAGGGCCAAAGCCCGACTTCTGCGGTTTGCTTCTCATGGCATACTCCCGACCGACCAATTTTTGCAACAGCAATAACATGTCAAGCTCATCTTCTGACCCGCCAGAAAAGTGGCATTGGGAACTCTGGAGGTAAAGAGAAGCAGTCTCGTGTTAAGCTAAGGCGTACATAGCCCTCGCATGAGTCTTCGAATCAATCATGCACATGGGAGATAGTGTGCTTGCCGCAACCATACCGGCACTTGAGCAAAGCAGCACAAGAAGAACACCATCAGGCTCCTCTGTTCGCACTCTGACAGCACCGCTCCAGCCCACTTCTATGAGTGGAAGGATTGCTCTCCGAAAGCAATCATGAACGTCCGAAAGCTAAGGCAGGAGGCCCTTGTAACTTTTACATGAGTCACCGGAAACCAAGTGGCCATGAAAGCCTTTCAAGAACAATCTCGCTGGGATTACAAATGTTCCTAGTGACCAAAAGAAACATTTGAGACATGCACGTCCAAGTGGACGGGAGTGAAAACAAAACAACTGGAGCAAGAAACAAGCAGAGATACTCCTCCCCACACAACAACAGTTTCCCATGTACAAAACCCGAAAATATGTGCAAACAAAAAGAACCTGCCGTTGGAGAGCTGGCGGGTGCAAAGCATTGAAATTCCTTGCTGGCTCGGCATTAGGCCACTGGCACGCAGGACAACGCCTACCAATGCAGACGATGCCCAAGAAATCCCGACTCGTCGCCCAAATGCTCGCCACAAAAAAGTGAGGTCTGCGCACAGAACCCAACAAATACTAACCCAACCCAAAAATACCCAAACAAAACAAAAAGCAAAAACACAAAACCGTTTCAATCAAGGTCAAGGTGTTATAGTGGGCAACCATGTTCCGTTCAGTCTTTTTGACCGGGTAAGGGTGGTACCCTTGGTTACCTACTGCATAGGGAAATGGACGTGACGAAACGCCATCGTCTGACTCGACTCCTCTGTGGGAAGAAGCTCGCGGACCTCGGCTTGGAAGAGTTTCGGGGGGTGGGGGGGGGCGGTGGGGGGGGGGCCTGGTACTAGTTCTGGGTGTTTCTCAAAATAGGAATCCGTCCATGTCCTCAAATCCCACGGGTCTCGGTTTAGTTTCCCTTTAGATGCCAACCAAAGGGGGCTCCATCATTGTGAGAAACTCAAGGTCACCCCCTGACCGGTTGGTGAAAGGGAAGCACTCCCAGTTTCTGACTGTGATAACCCCCCGAAACAGTCCAAACAACATGAGCCCCGTCCGATCCAGAGAGTGTCACTCACTGGAGCCGGCTGACTGAGTCTCTGAGTGCAGGGCCCCGTCTTCATCCACGCCCCCATCGTCCATGCGCCTCTTCAGGATCCTGCGGGCACGAAAAAGGCCGCGGGCAAAGTTGCGATTTATCTGTTGGGAGCAGAAGCCGTGGCAAGTCTTCGGAACACTTCCTGCCATCCAACACAAGAAGACACTTGCTCAACCAAATCAACCAAAAAGGACACCTATGAAATTCATCCTAGTTGCATGCATTCTCCTTGTCTGATCTTTAACCCTGGCATGTAACAGTCAGGACGCTGATAGCTCTCGACTCTACAAGCATTTTATGCCTCAACTGGTTGCCCTCCATTTCGTTTGAGCGTGGTCCAAAACCAGTACTTTGACAAAAATACTGCCATGAACAACGGCGCAGTACTTGAATAAGGAGCCAGAAGTCGTTGTGACAAATCCCGCAAACGAGGGGTGGGGAGGCTCCAAACCATTGGGGTCTCCCTGGGTTTGTCGAGCCAAAGGAATTCGCGAACATCGCTCCCTGACCAAAGGGATGCTTGATAAGGCAGGGCGCTATTCCTACCACGTGACTTTTCAAAATGGCGGACCCCTTTTGGGAAGTATTCAAAGGGAAGCCAGAAGGCAACCCATGTGTAGACAGAAATGGACCGATTCCTATCTCTCGAAACGAAGGCAACCTGCCCGGATCCTGGGCACGTCATCTGGCTCGTCGTGATCGATGGAATCCTCTTGGATGGTTTCGTAAACCTCGCTGCGCCAACGACGAAGAGTCCCGTTTTGGGATGCAGCGAGAGTTTTCCGTCACCCTCTAAGGAATGGAGATGACGTGTCCGCCTTGGCTCTTCCAAGCGGATCGTGGCCTTGTACACAGGGCAATCTGAAGGAAAAGGAAGGGCTTCGCACAAGTCTCTTGCTTACACCTAAATCTATTCACTCTGAAATCAAGCCCAGAACGAAATGCTGAAACACATGGTCTGGGTGGAGTCAAGCTGAAACCAGGGGTTCCCTATATGTGATCAGTTGACGCTACCATAACTTACCTATGGCGATTGAGACAGAAGCCTCATCTGGGCTTTCAAGCAAGCAACATTCGGCCTGAGCAGTTGCCCGGCTAAGTACAACTTCTTTGGATTCTGATATATCTTAACAGTAACATAACATGCAAGGAGAGTTATTGTAGCCCCAAGCAAGAGGATTCGACACGATTCGGAAGATGACTTTGATCCATTCCAGGTGCGGCTTGCAGCGTTGGGATCTCGCAAGCCACTATACTCTGCTGCAACTCAAGCAACCATCATTCTTAGAGGAGGAATCCATTCCGTGGGTCCTATGCAAAGTCCGTAGCCTACACCAAATTGGAAATCTGCTTCAGATTGATTCAGGGATGGGCATGGACCCAAGGTCCGTCCAAGGAATCTCCAAGAAAGAGACCCGCAGGTTGGGCTAGCCTCGTTAATTTGCTTGGCCTCACCTGCCGCAGAGGAAACAGACTCCTTACCCCTTAAAACTCCAAGCCCTGGGGAAATTAATCTTTTACAGACATATAGCCCATGTTACCCAAAAAGTTGAAAAGTTGTGTTTTTAAGAGGTAAGACTCCATACGGTCCATGCGTATTGATACCAGGCCCAGGGCAAATCCCGGGACAAAGTTCAGATGTAGAAATTCTACCAAGGTGTCATAAGGTGACGCACATGTCGCATAATGGGCAGAAACCCATAGACAATCACAAACAATTTCAGCTAACCCACAATCCTATTTCCAATGGCTCAGAAACGTCGGAAATCCTTCAGGTGTAGATTGTCGGGAATGGTCGCACCCCCAGCTTTTGCCAATCTTTTGTCTTGTTTGGCTAGGTGTTTCTCCATATTAGTCAGGTGGGGTTGAACCGACCCCTTGCCATCCTTCGTGTTGTTTGCCCCTGCGAAGCAGGTGTACACCCCTTTTGCAGTTCAATCCAAAATCCAAGCCCCCCCCCTTTTGCCGGGCTTCTTTAAGGCTGTTTGTTTGAACACTCTGGGCTCAGAAGAACTCTGGGCAGGTTTTCCGTATAGTTCTTGGCACCCGGGCCTCCACCATGGAGGGGTACTGCACGTAGAGCAGCTCCGGATCTTCGAGTTCCAACTTGTCGAGGAACACGTCCAACAGCACAAAGGACCTGCAGTCATAGAAACATGCGTCACGAGACTGTGGGCAGTGAATCAAACTGCAAAGAGCTTACAAAACTCAGGGTTGTAGTGGGTTGTGTAGATGGGAATTCCTCAGGGGGCTTACCTTCCGCTTTGTTCTGGGTTGCGTCTAGAGATGAGTTCCTTAGAGGGATAACATAGTGGGGTTATTCACCAAAAGGGCCTGAAGGAGATTCATGGACCTCCAAGGGGGGGTTGTTGAGGGGAGAGGGTGTCCTGGATAAGCCTAAGACAAGCCAAGCAGAAGCCAAGAAGAGGGCTCACAGTCTTGTCGTGGGTTCAATAGCAATAGACCTCAAAAATTCGCTCCTTCGGCCGGTTGTATGTAGACAATTGCGTCTCAGGTAAGCTGTGTCACCCCAGGTGAGCTCGCCAGAATTGGCGCAGACATGTCCACAATGATGTATATGCTGATAGGTGATGGTGTTCAATGAGATACCACGACACATATACGGATATACAATCATACACAACGTTTTAAAATGATATATCATGATACGCTATGATGCATATATGTATATACATATGTAATGATGTATGATTACACAGATATATATATATATACACACACACTATAGTGATATATGCAGGCAGTCAGATGGCATGGAACAACAATATGGTACAACTGAAACAAACCTTAAAGTATCGCTGTGGCAGGGTGCAGCAACGCTTTAACAACAGCACGCCCAGCCAAAAGGATCATGCCGGAAAGGATGGTGGTGAGCACGGGAGGGATACAAGTGTTTACAATTTATTTGCCGACCAAAGGAAAAAGGGCACGGAATACCGGAAAGTGCTGGCACCTGGTCAAAAAAAGGTCGAACCCAACACCAGTACAAAGCAGTAGCGATCCCATTTGAAACCAGAAACTGAAAGCCACAAACAAACGCGAATTCTGTTCAAACCCCATACTCGGAGACAGCCGACTTGATCTGCTCCGCTGGGCCCACAAGATTCTGACCCGAGCGGTTCTTCGCGGAACTGGGAGTCATCGCAGATTACTGCTCAAACGTATGGGCGTTTCTCAAAACTAGGCTGGTTTCCTGTTTGGATTCCCTCCAAAGCCATATTGAAGGGGACCCCTATTGTGAGAAACCCCGATATGTGTCATACCCTGCATGGACGTGGGCAAATTAGAGGGTTTGGGTGTTGTGGGAAACTTAGAGAAAGTCGCTTCCCCATAATTATGCAATCCAACGCAATGATTAGGAATTGCCAGACCCTTTGCTGGACATTCCTGTCCACCGACCGCATCTTGGAGGTCGTTCCTTGCTTGAAAAACCTCATTCTCCGGATTTCTTGCATTCCCGAGATCCATCTTCCCTGGAAAAAGAGAAAGCACAAAAAAAGCGGGGGAGGGGCGGGAAACAAAGCAAAACAGGTAGCTTTGAACGGCCCAAATTGACCCCCCGCATCCGGAGACCGACCAACCTTTGGGGCCACCGGCACGGCTCGCCGTAGCATGGCGATGATGAAGTTGTGCTCATGCTCCCGGGTGGCCTGAACGACCGAACAACTCAGTTGGCAGCGTGTTGTGTGTGGCGTGGGCTGCCAGCCACATGGCTGTGGCTCAGAAAACCGGTACCAAAATCAACCCTGGTAAGTGGAAACATGGACCAAAACCTGCGTAAGCCATACCGTGGATGGACGAAATCCTGCACCGCAAAATGTTGTTATTTACAGGAGCATTATCATTCAAGGGTTTCTTCGGTGGTGCAAGATGCCGTCCATCCACAGTATCTTTTAAACCAGAGAAAACCGCAGATGTGGCTGTTTTGTTCACCTTTGGTTTCCATATCAATGAATCATGTCTGTGAACCATGAATATGTTGTCGCCCTAAAGATGATTCATGTATTTTGCCGGAAAGATTATCTTTTCTTTTCTTTACGGTCATCCACATTTGAGGACTCCTTGGTATTACATGGCATTGAAATCTCGTTTGTCACGACCATGGCATTTGGTGCAGAGGAATTGGGCAACCCCGAACCACCTGTCCCAAGCTCTGAAAACCAAATATATTTCGAATCATTAATTTATACTATGTTTTTTAATGGTATAGAAATATCATATAATGAAATGGTACAGGCAACGTTGCCGAAGCTGCCACTGGAGCTAAGAAATGTCAGCAACAAAGTACTCTGCGTAAATAGAAAGGAGTTTCCCCAAAAGGCCAAGTCACACAGTTGAGGTAGGACGCGGAGATCTATGATGGCTTCCACTACCAACCACCCCCAGGGGTTCAGGGATGCAGCCATTATAAAGCCACTATACAACACTATACAAAGGGTATTTGGTAATAATGCTCCGGTTTGCCTTGTGGGTAGTGGAAACCATTTATAAAGGGGAACAAGTGAGGCAGCTGCTTCCCGATCCTTATCAGCCTGATCTCAAGGGAGTACTCTGGGAGAAACAGTGCATACAGAGCGCCCAAGCACTTGCCCAAGTCATGACATGGGTATATGCATATATGTTTGAGGGTACCCTGTGTATTTGGAGACAACCATGTGCACAAATCCGAGGGTTGGGACCGCGGAGCACGACAACCGGCCGCTGATTGGGCTGGCAAGGTTGGCAATTGGCCCTCGTTGGATGGGGGCCCCAGTTTCCAGGGATGACGCCTGTCCCAACTCCATGTCTACGGGTTGGGCAGATACGCATCTGTTTTTGCCGTGCCATTTCCTGAAACAGATACTTTTAGGACGCCTTGTTGTGTTTGTTCGAATCCAAACATTTGGGTGTGGGTCCAAAAAAGGTACACAAAATGGAAGCCTGGCAAATGGAAACAAAGACTAAAACCTGCGGTCCCCTGGTGGTTTAATTTTGACCCACACCCATTTGTTGAACTGTTTTGCGCATCAAGATGACGGCTGATGGCGATAGACTGGCACGAGCGGAGTCATTGCCCAAAATACTGGGGTCATTGGGTCATTGACCCATTTTTAAAGGGTCATGGACCCATTTTTCAACCTGACCCTCAAAAAGCAGGAGCCCGAACATGGACCTCTCGCCTGGAGCAACCGCTCATCGAGGCCCTTGGACTGGCGCTCGAACTTGAAGCACCGGTCCTCTCGCAAGAGCCGTCGCGGCGCCGAGACCGCGAGTGGGTGAAAGGGGCGGAGGGGCGGAGGGGTGGGGGGTGGAGGGGCGGAGGGGCGGAGGGGTGGAGGGGTGGAGGGGTAAAGGGGTGGGGGGGGTGGTGGCTGTTTGAATGCCGTTCCCAATGTGACAGTGCTCTTATTCGTAGTTGACATGGAACCACAACGAGACTCGGCTGAAAGGTCCTAGTTGACATGGAACCACAACGCGACTCCGAGGGTTTAGGGTTTAGGGTTTAGAGATTGGATGGTGGGATTACGGTTCCTGGGAGTTCCTAAATAGGTCCTCCAGTAGAGAGGTTAGAATAAGGGTACCTTTTTTTCAGTTTTGTCTATTTTAGTAAGGGAACCCTCCCCCAAAAAAGAATCGGCAAAAGGGCACTACTGGGAAACCGAGCTAAGGTTGAGGGTTCCTGCTTGAGCCATACGAGACGGCTGCGTCACGCGCGGATTTCATCCCAAGCCGCCCGCAGGCCGCAGGTCCTCGATGAGGTCAATCACCTGGCGCGGCCCCCATCGGACATCGGTGCCCTAAGCCGCAAGCAACGGAAGAGATCCCAAACCACACATGGTACCCCCTGCCCCCCCACCCTTGGGGTGTTATCAGCCCTCAAAACCAGAAAATTGGAGGGGTGACAGCGCAAAAGTTGCAGCATCTAAAATCATGAAGGAGAGAACATGTCTATCAACCACATGGAACCTCGGCCACGTAGTACAGCAATATTCAATGATTTGTCCGCGCACACACACACACACACATACACACACGCCAAAACATGGACTTGGTGGAGTCTCACCAACCATAAGGGTGTGTTTTTGGTTAAGGTACCTTTTTTTTTGTGGGGGGGGGGGAGTGCTTTAAAGCAAACCCAGCAGGAAGTTTAACCATTTTGGGGACACCTATTCTGGCACATGCCCTGAGTTGTTTTGCTGCAACACATCAAAGCAGAAACCAACAGCTAAGTGGAGCCTAAACACTCTGTGCGGTGAGCAGTAAATGGGCTCTGAGATGCTACACTCATGGAGTGTCGCTTGGTGCAAGCTGGAACCCGTGTAAAAAAACCGTTTGGGGGGCCCTGACTCTCAGCTCCCCCCTAATTGGTGATTTGGATTGGTGGTTTGGTCGTTTGGTGGTTAGGGGGTGGTTCCCTGTACACTGTACAAGAACCAGGGGGTGAAATCCCCAAACCACCAATCCAAACCACCAATTATGGGCTACCTGAGACTCTGCAGTGCTCAAAAAACACAACTAGAGCCTGGACCGTCTGAAGAGTTTCTATTTCCGTACAAACAAAGGCGAACCTTGCCACTCATCCCGAATCAATAGTTGTTAGTAGTAGCAGCATCTCCAGATATGAAACGTGACTAGACCTTCGAATGGACCTGACAGCCTGCAGCCCCGCCCCATCCTGCAAGTAAAGCACAGCCCCGCCTGCTCACCTATTTCGGTTTGTCTCAAAACAGGGAAGCGCCAAGCTTTGCATTTCTGTTGCAATTGGCCTATGTACAGCAAACCATGAGGACACACACACACACCATGTTGGGCATAAGGTCTAATCGCCAGTGTCATGTCGCCATTTAATTATACAGCATACATACCTGCTTCAATGAGCCCTGCCCAGTTTTGCCGTACAACCTCTTAAACTGAGACAGACATTTCCCCAAGTTGGCTCAGCGGACCAGCCTTCTCCGTGAACTTCGGCATCAGCTCGTGTATGACCTTCTTGGCCATGGTGACCTCGCGGGCCACGACCCGGTAAACGCTCGGGACCGGTCAGCAACACAGGCTCGCCC